AAGTGAAGTTTATATAGAAAATTATAAGTTATATCTTAATAAATGAAAAAAACAATTTATCAGAGAAAATTTGAAAATTGTAATAGTAACATAAAATGGCAAAAAATTTTTGTGGAGGTCGGTGGTTCGTGGATAAACGTGATGTTGGACCCTTTTTTTTTTGTAGGATTTTTGATTGGCGATCCACATCACATCATTTTTGTGGGAAGGATTCTAAGATATATAGTGAGTTGGGAAGGGTGTGGGGCTCGGTCTGGCCTTGGGTATTGAGGCCAGACGGGGCTAGGGCATATTTTGAGAATTCCAAACGGAATTATAGCCATACGGCTATTTGGATCGTTTATCACACGACCGACCTCCGATGATAGGGTGACCGACAGTTAGTATATATATTAGACATTCGGTCAGTCACATTCACTCGGGAGAGGAGCAATTGTCTGTGCTAAGCTTAGCGATTGCCAGACTAAGGACGTCTAGTCGGAACGTTAGATGGCGCTATCATTACTATTTCACAGTTCTGTGTAAATAACTGCAGAAAGCAGAATTTTGTTTAACATTATTCAAGAGTCTTCACTCTAGGTATTATAATACTAGGTAACATGTTACCTACATCTAAACAAGTTGCAAAAAAACAAGCTCTTAAAAAATCAAACCGTTTTTCCCGTACTTTCTGGTTAGCAGAAAATCTGTTAGGTAGTGGTGTAGTGCACACAATTGCTGTTTGTACAGTGTAAAAATTAAAACAAGTCAAAACACGCAACTCGTGTTATAATAGCACATAACCAATTAAATTGGAAAGAACAACAACATTGATGATTTAACATGCATGTACAAGTTATTGTGTCGTGTTTCTGAAGGTTTAAAAACCATGGCTGATAGTGTTAGCCAGTATTTACGAGAATTATTAAAATCACTTGTCTTGTACAAGATATGTTATTTACCAGGTATGAACACTAATGCAGTCAACTATAATCAGGTTCTTAAAAATTTTAATGCATTAATACTTACATCTCAAATTATAATCACAACAATAAGTCTTAACTTATATATATAGAGTACAATGCAAATTGGTTATAATGACTTTTTAATAACCAGGAAAATGTGTCATACTAAAAAGAAACTAGCTTTGAAAATATATTATAATCTACCATTTTAAATACATCAACATTTATTTTATTAAAAAGTTGTACGTTTATGCATCATATGAATATTTAGAAATTGCACAATGTCAACATTTTTTTCACCTTATTTAATTTAAATAAGTACTGTGGTTTTTTTACAACACTAAATATTTTTGGTTAGTTAATTTAACGTTTAAAAATTGACTAACTTAAACTTGGATAGAAAAAAAATTGAAAAAGATGTATGGATATGAATATTTAAACATACAGGGTGGGGCGTGCTTATTATTTTATTCATAGTTAGCACAGATAAGGATAACTTAAAGGCAAGATTATGATTTTAACTTTAACTTGGACCATTGAAGTGTATTCTTTTAAACTTTAATACCTACATTATTAACCTTTTTTTCTTAATAACAATGAACTTGTTTCAGCTGGTTGCTTTAGTTGCTTATAACTTATAAGTATTCAATAGCCGATATGATTTATTATTATTTAAATAATTAGACTTTTAAAAGAAAAGGATAAATATTTACATAGGTACCTATACCTACCTATATTATTAAGTCCGATTAAATGTTAAAATTGGCCTGTGCTTAAAAGCTCACACACCTGGAAAAATACCTAACTGAAACGATGCCTTTGACCATGAACACCTACGGAAATTTTTTATAGAAAAATAAATTGTTTTTATCGACTGGAAGCCTAACCTAGATTTTTAGCTTACAATAATTTAAACAGTTTGTATTTTGATTATTTATATATGTAGAGTGGCATTTACATTCGATTTACATTAGGTGTATTAAGATTTAAAATGTTCAATTTCATTTTTTTTTTAGTTTAAGAATAGGGTCTTGTTGCTTCGTACACGTTATCTGGAATTTGACACTCTTCTCTTCATCTGTGAATATTGTAGGTGCAGTGGATGATCTTCATTTTATCACGATGTCTGTGTGTCTGTGTTGCATAAAAGGCATATTGGAGGCTCCATTTTTCCAATCAGAAAAATATAAATTCCTTATGGAAGTATAAAATATTTAATATACCTAAAATATAATAAATATGATATGATAAAATACCTATTTAGATGTTAGAACCTAGAAATGTAGGCTGACAGACTGTCTACTCGCAAAATAGTTTTTAACATATGCAATGATTCATCACTTAATTCAAATTTAAGAATTTAACACAACCATTTAGATTACTGCAGCGACCTACTCAATGACAAAATGACAAATAACTCGACTGTGACACCTACTTGGATAATACTATTTATACAGCACGACTTTCCCGGTCTATATTGTGTAGCCGACGTAGGCATAAGATAACTTAATTATTATTTTCATTATTTATAACTTTTTTAAATAATATAAAAATGTAAGAATTCCGCCACGAATAGCTATATTATAAAATACATCACCCGGTGCAGTGTTGTCAGTACTCTAATGTATATTATCTACGTAACAATTCATGAATAATTTATTTTATACTTTTCTTTAATAAATAAAAACTACTTGATTTTATTTTTATTACTTCATACTGATATTTATAATCGTACACAGTAAGGATGTAGGTAGTTAGGTGCCAGGTAGTAGGTACGTGGTAACTATATGGCTTTATAAATTATAAAATATATACTATGTGTTACCTAATTAAACATAATTCACAATACTTATCCATAATATACCAGTCATTACCGCTTTACCAGCTATAGTTTATAGTGCCTATAAGAATAAATAAATATACAAGTACAATTATAGTACGATGTACCGATATACGTAGTAACGTAATATACTAACGCAAACTACAAAATACTGTAACGAAATAATTTTTTTAGTAACGCAGTGGTATTTTCATCTTTTTTTTTTAACTAATGCAATTGTATAACGTAATTATTTTTAAAAGTAATTTGAAGTAACGGTTTTTTTTCACGTTATTAAAATTATGTATGACAAAAACAAGGGTACTCTTGAAAAATTTAAAATCTATAAATTTTGTTTTTGAAATCCGAATTTTTAGATACCAATAATAAATAGTATATTATTACCTATGTAAGTTACCAGGAATTAATGTTATTCGTATTTTGCAAGAAATTAAAACTTTCAGATTAAAAAATAAATTTAAATGTAATCAATTAAGATTAGACAGCCATATACGTACCTTTTATACATTTTGTATAACTGTATTGTGGTCCTATTACTTGTCATTATTATTATTGAAGTCATTATGTACTTATATTTTATAATTAAAGGATTAATTCAGTACCTAGTGGCTAGTACCCACTGTCATCTTCCATGTTCATGTCGACTGTCTACGATAGACGAACTATAGATCAACAGTAAAGATGACAATTGAAAAATGTTACTTGGTTTTCAATTTTTTCAAATGAAAAAAATGAAATTTACCATTTACTATTTATTATTAATAAATACAAGAACAGAGAAAGCGACTTTTTTAACTCGATGTTATATGAAAAAAAAAATTCTTATAATGTAGGTACTAAAAACCAATATTGTCGACAAAAAAAAAAAAAGCAGTGAATGACCAATACAGTCGATGTCTTGTATTTATAATAAAAAAAAAATATAGTTATTTCTGCATCAGAAAACTCTTAAAAACAGCATACTGTATAGATATAAATAAATTATCTGCGATAACACGAAAACATAATAATACTATGTTTTTTTTATCTATAATAACTTAAACTAAAAAATTTTTTCGTTTTTTTAACTAAATTTGATCCTTATTTTTATGGGGTGCCACTGCTCGAACAAATTTCAATGGGTTGGAGCTTCCGGGAACCCGCGGTCTACACTATACGTGGTGTCTATATGAAACAACTAAAAAGTAACGTTATTAATTATTTGATTACTTTTTAATAGTAGTTTATTTTATCAAACACTGTCAATAAGATTCACTGACCACATTTATACGAAATCGATAGATGACATTTTGACAATATAACATCTACATAATGTTGTGTTCTACCTACCTATTTAGTACTTTGACATTGTTACGGAGTTATAATATAGTTTATTATAAGTTAGTCTCGCGGACAGCAATGTGTAAAATAAAAATACTAATCATATTATAAAATGTTCGTTGACCCACAATGGCTTAATAGAGGAACGTCGGCAAAATATGCGAAATGACTCACGGTGAGCCACAAAATACGATAGTGACACGCAGCCATCACAATAATAATTATTATTGTTGCTGGATGTGGGAAAAATAGCTTTTTCCCGACAAACCAGTTTGAATTAATACAACAATGGTGTAGTAATAATAATAATAATAATAATAATTATACGACAAACGTCGTCGGTCGGAGCAGTCACGAGACTGCGAGAGTCGGTGGCATATTCGCACAATAACTCTGTGTCTGACTCAGTGCCCCGCGGTTCGGAATAGTTGTTTTTTACGCGGCGGAACCTTCGCGCCCGTCTGCTTTTCCGACCGGCGGACTGAGACGACACAGTCGCTAACGCCCACTACTGCCACCACCTGCGCGGTTCGCTGGAGCACCAGGCGTCCAGACGACAGCCGCGGGCCTACGACAGTACGACACTACAACTACAGGCGGCTGCGGCCGCCTCTTGCCATAGAACAGTGCGGCTCTTGCCACTGCCACTGTAAATCTTTGCCACTGCCCGCAGCAGCAAGCTGCTGCAGTCGACGACAACTATTTATGACTGTGCGTAACGACATGATAACAGAACGACAATGAGGCGCAGTGCGCGTGCGCCCGAGCGCGTGTACTCCTTTCGTTGGCACCGCCACAGCAACAGCAATTATATATATTATTTCGGTCACCAGTCGACGACGGCGGGGCGGGGTGGAGGGAAAAACCTGCCGCCGACGAGATCGTTTGCCACAGTCGGCGAACGACTTATCGCAACTGACTTACAAGTTGCAACGATCGTCCCGCACGTTATCGTCGGTCACCGCGGAATAGTAATAGTAATAATAACAAAATCCGAATATTTGTTGTTGGATATTTCATCCTTACCCCCCATCCCGCCCCTCCCTCGCGTCCCGTTGCCGACGCCGGGTGATTAATCGCGCCGCTATTCGGCATTCGCTATCGCCTGCGCCGACCGTCGACGACGACGTCCGTTCTCGCTATCAGTGCCGAGTGATAGAGGACCGTTTTATTTTCACCACTGCAGCAGCAGGCTCACCACCAGTTGTCGTGCTCCGGACTGTGACGTTAATTTATTAATTTATTATTATTATTATTATTATTATTACTATTTTTACTATTACTATATTATAATATCACGCGCACGCACACGTTTATCGCGTTCGTACGTGTAACGTAGCATTATCATATTCTGTATAATACTATTATTATTATTATTATTATTATTATTATTATTATTATTATTATTTATCCGTGCCCGCGTCGATCGTTTCCGCCGGAGAGCTGGTGATAACCGATAATTGATCAACAAACTCGGTGTCCGGTGACCGTAGCGTAGTAACCGTGTGAAATTAGGTTATTTCCTCGCGTAGTTGTTTTGCGTCCGCTCCTGTGCACTTGTACGACGCACCGTCGCGGTTCCTGTCCGTTTTCGTTTTTCCGACATCAGTAGGAGGTGTCCAGCCGTTGTTTTTTACGACCGTCGCCCTTATTCGACTGAGCGATCGCCATGGCCATGGAAGGAGAGGAACTCATCTCGGACCAGGAAAAGGTAACGTTTTCCGCTCGGCTACTGCGTACTGTAGGTGCACTGTGACGATGAGTTATGATACACCGGCAGACGTCGACGAGACAGTACAATTTCTCGTACGTACTCTGTGGTTTGCGTGCGACAACCGTGGTGTGGTGTTAAAATTGCAAGCGAGCAGGTCGTTGTAACTCACCTTATTGTGATTCCAGCGTGTATAATTGTGTATTGCAGATAAAATATAATAAAATGTTGATTACAGTTGATTGTGCGTGGCTAGGTGGGTACCTACTTGTTTGATTTACTATTGTCGTCATTGCCTACATTGAGTCATCCTTGTGCAGAGCCTCCTCTACTCAACATAATATTATCTACCATGGGTATAGGCAGTGCTTGAATTAGGAAAAAATTAGGATGAGGCAAAAGTATTAAATGTTCTATTGATTAGAATGTAATTAGGAGTAAGCATTAATATATTTTAAATAGAAGAAGGACCGTCCAGTGCACCCCCTCAGTTATGCCTATAATAGGTATGCACTTAACACACATTTTTATGACGGAATATGATCCGAGTTCCAGTAAAACTTTTTAGAACAAAATATTGAGTTCTGGGTAGTTTTAAGGTACATTCCCACACCGATTGATTCCTGTTAAATCTTTAAATATGATACTAATTAATTCCATGTTCAAATAATAACTGAGTCCCATCATACATTGAATAAAAACATCTTCCTTCCCACTAACCTACAGACTTAGGTCTATAACAACAATTTTTACAGGTATCCATGGTTACATTTTTTTTACGTTTGTTTTGAACACCACATTTGATTAATGTGTGTACAATATATTATGTTTAGTTCAGTCGCTTGAAATAAAATGTAATAATTCAAATATAATCTAAAAATCTTGGTCTGCTTGTATAATATGTTTTTATATTATTATTATTTTTATTTGACAAAGGATGTAAAAATGATATGAACTATGTCAGAGTCACCTCCGTACACATATTCTGACATACCTACTGTTGATTTTATATTTTACTTGAAATGATCAAATCCAAGAACTAAAAAATTAATATGTTTTTTTTCCAAACCCGGTTCCAAAATTTATTTTTTATTCATACCCGGGACTCAATTAGTATAATTTTTTTGTCCGTTCAGGTATTGTACTCCATCAGTATGCACTGATTTCTGTACTACCTATATTAAATAGAAACTCGGGATAAAACGCACACAATATAATTGAAGGATTGGGCAATTTCCATGTATATTTCATTGTAAACTATTTAAGTAATACATAGAAATACCGATGATTTTAAACATAATATTATTTACTTGTCAGTGTTAATTTGCCAACCGAGAAAATGTTGAAAAGAAAATCATTTTTGTTAAGTAAAGTTGATCCAGTTAAAAAAAACATTTTAAATTAAAAAAGTATGAACTTTTTAAAATATTTTATGAGAATTTTTAAAAAGGTAGGTAACCTACTTATTAAAATCTAAATATTTAATCTAATATTTTTTTAAAAGGTTAATGCTTTTCAAATTAATGAGTTTTTTCAAAAAATTTGATATTTTAAAAATCATAAAAATAACCACTTGACTTAAATGATTTTACAATTAAATGGTATCTAAAAATCAGATTTACAAATTACTAGGTATATTGAAATTTTCAAAAACATTTAATTTTTTTTATTTTTAGCATTAAAAATTAAAATTAAACATTTTTATATTTTACATGTACACTAGTTAATAAATTATGTATATAAAATAAAATTTAGGTAAATATTGATTAGAACAAAAGTTATTTAATTTGTCATGTCCAGGAATACAGAAATTACACCTTGTATGTACTCAGTTCAAAATAAGATCATTACCCAGTGGTGGTTCAGACTCATTGTTAGACACTTCCTCTACAAAGTAGACGAGCGAGACCAGTGCTTTAGAAAAAAACCACTCCTAACTCGTCCGCCGGGTAATGATCTTATTTTGAACAGAATGTAGGTAGGATAAGATTTAGTACCTTATAAAAATTAATATCTGTATAAAAATTAATATTATTCCAATTTATCGATTAAGGTGAAGGTGTGGTAAATAATACTTTGAATGTTTGACATTATTTTACATTTTCTAAAATTTTAAAAATGTGTATAAGAGTTACAAAACCAATTAAATGTAGGTAATTATCAGGGAAAATACTCATTTGTGTATTATGATTATTCAGTCTATTATTTAAACCTTAAAATTAAAATGTATAGTTGTATTGTAAATACTGTAATAGTTGTTTACATTGTTTACTCATTAGTCATTATAAAGTCATTAATAACAAAAATAATAGTAATAATAATTACATACTTACTAATAAATAATAATTGACTGAAGATAAATATTTACATTTTTTTTTCATTAGGTTTTCAGTTATATTTTTTGTTTTGTTTTAGACTAAAAATGACTTGATGCACAATTATAATACAATAAAACTTAAAATTTTAATATAAAATAGTATAAGATTTTTTAGAATGTAAAATTAATTTAACATATTATGTTATAAACTGATATAATAAAATATTATACCTATGATAAATAAATTAAATAATAATAATATTAGGTATATATTATATATTTGAACTATTAATGAGTGGTAGATATACCAACTCATGAAAAAAAATGGTAGGTTGGGCTAATAAAAGTTTTTATGATTTATTCTTTACTTTAGAACTCAGAAATTAGGCTCTCATTTTTTCCCAATCAACTAATATGTATACCTACTATATTCATGCACGGGTCATCATGAAAGTTAAGACTGTAGTTGGAGGCATTTAACTATTTAAGGGTTTGGGTGGGATTAGATTCTCATAATCCTTAAAAGTACCATCAATTCAATATCATAAATACAAAATCATTACAATTTATCAAAATTGTATAATATTAATTGCATAATAGAATAGGTATAATTTCCTAAAAAATATACTAACTTATACTTTAAAATATAGTATATCTATACTTAAGTATTCTCCGAGGTATTTTCCTTATCCATATGTTTGAATATTAATTTACTTTAAACCATTCATCTTATAAGCAACTGTAGAATATAAAAATAATATTTGAAATAATAAGTCACTTAGGTATGTCCGGTCAATTTTACATGTATTAGTTGAACTAGTTAAAACGGTAAAGTGGGTCTTTTAGTAATAACATTTGTTCACAAACTGATATGTATTTCATCTTAATGTAAACTAGACAATAAATATGAATGATACTTGAGAAGTAGAAGGGGGTTTGATAACGATTCTATAAATATTTGTTTAAATATATTAACACTGTTTGTTGAATTGAAGAATTGTTAGTATAATCAAAGTAAATATGGTTAAGTTATACAAACTTTCAAAACAAACAAATTGATAGCATAGCAAATTTGTATTCAGGAGTTCAAATTAAGTGTTGTTAGCTTAAACTTTTTAGGTAAGAACATTATCTGGATTTTCTTTGTCTCTTTACAATATTTTAATTTTTATATGAGTTTTTGTAAGAAAATAAAATATTAATGTTTAAAAATGCTCATAACTCAAACAAAAATAATAGCTGTGAACCCACAGATGTTTTTAGCTCGGTTTTTAGGTATCTTTAAGTGTGTACAGATTACTTTAAAATTATCTAGGTGACATAGCAGATAATTGAATAAAATAAAATATCATTATAAAAGATAAGTTACTCCCTTTTTGTCTAGATCAGTGTTTCCCAAACTCTTGTTTGGGCAAGCCCTGGTAGTTTATATTTTTCACCTTTGTGACCCACCAAAATATTTTACATTTATCATTATGTAATTAAAGGCAAAATAAAACACATTTGAATCATCTCTCCTGTCGCTTTGACTTCATCTTCATACTTAATAGTTAAAATGATAAATAACAAATTTAATATGAGAATTTCATTAAATTCTACGACCTGGTATTAAATTTTCATGGCCCGGTAGTGGGTCGCGAACCACTATTTGGGAAACGCTGGTCTAGATGAAAACCAGACAGTTATACAGTTTTTAGGGTTTTAAAGATTTAATAAATTCAATTTTAACACTTATTTATAATCTTATAGTTAATATTATTTATTATTTTATACAAAACTAAAATATAGATTAAGTTATAAATAATCAAGTGGAATTAATAAAAAATATTATCTAATTATCTTAAATAATCAGATAACAGTTTTATCTATTCTATCTATATAAGATAAAAAGCTAAATATTTTTATCTTGATAACTCATAACATCTGGTCAATTCACTCTAATATTGAAGCTAATAATACAAAATTGGAACGACTGACATAATTTTGGTATGTTATATGGTGGGTATTGTAGGTATGACATCATATCACTATTAAGACAGTAGATAGATTTTTTACTAATTTGAAAAGAAACATAAAAGTTGTGGTAATTAAAAAAAATTATATTGTATTCAAAATTAAATAAAAACTAAACTAGGAAATATGCTGTAGCAGAAATACCTTTCCTATACCTATGCTATCTTAATTAAGAATCCCAGCTAAAAAATGATATTGATATTATTTTGATATACTATTCTAATTAAATTAGAATATTATAAATCCTCATGTTCCTTAATAAATATGACATGGGTCATCTAGTTTTCTATGCAATTAAGTGTCTGACTGAACACTGTTTTTTTTTAATTAAAAATATTTTTTTTGCTATTATAATGTATATTTTGTAATAATATGATATGATTTAAATTTTTGTATAAGACTGTAAAAAATGTATAACTGCCTACCTCTGTATTGTTGTTAATAATTAAAATGAATATATCGTTTAACATAATGTTAAATCTAAAAGGTAGATGTTTATGCTTTGCATATTTTTTTCTTTAACAATAGAAGTCAAAAGATAAATAGAGTAAAATTGAAATTAATTTTGTAACCTTCAGAATACAAAAGTAAAATTTTTATGTTGCATATTTTTGGATATTTCGATTTTTTAACACTTTAATAATATTTAAAATCAAAAATAAATTAAAATCCTGGGCAATTGATTATTATTTAAATTTTAATACAGAAATCAAATGACCAATGAAGGCACACGGAACATTTTAAAAAATGTTGATATATTTATGCTCTTGGGTAACTTAAAACTATATATAAATTCCTATACTAAGCACTTTTGGTGTACTTATTTTTTATTCAAATAATTTATACCTAGTTAAATTTATATTTTAGTGCAGAAATATTTGTTTTGTGTTTATAACAGTTCTATTGTATATTATTTAGTATTTTAGTATTTATTTTGATACTTTGTTGCATATTTGATGTTTTATTGGATATTTTATTAGACATATTTTAACATTGTATAAAGCATGTGACTTTTTTAGTTCATTGAAGTTTGCTCTTTAGAAAAAAAATAGTTGAAATGCCACAAGGTACAAAAATATAAAAGCATCTCGAAAAGCATTTAACAATGGTAAACCGTAAAATTGAATGAATAAATTAAAAATTAAAAAAGAGAATTGATTATTTGTATAAACCTCAATACTATCGTCTCACAAACCACACCTTTTTGTAGATTTCCCGTCAAATGCATCAAGGATGAATCTGATTTTAAATTGACTAAAAAATATTGAAAATTATTAGATGTCTAATCTGATTGACCATAGAGTTTATTCAGGAAAACACATATTATAGTTTAAGATAAATACTAAATTATGTTTAATATGTGTCTATAATCTTTATTTTGTGTATTTGTACTAAAAAATATTTTTGTTTATAGGTCAGAATTGTTTCGGATTTCATCCTGCATTCACCTCCAGGCGAATTTAATGAAGTATTCAATGGTAAAATATTAATATTATTATTATTTATTTTACCTATTTTTATTTTGGGGTTTTTTTTTTAAATTTAAGATGTTCGAGGCTTAGTTAACAATGATGCTCTTCTTAAAGAAGGAACGTGTTGGTAAGTATTCAAATAATTAATTTATATAATTTAATGATTCTATGAATTATATTATATAATGAATATGTTTTGATGTTATTTTGATTTCAGGGCATTTGCTTTATACAATAAAGAACAAACATTACCTATTAAGATAGAAAACAGTGAATATCCGGTGCTTATTACTCAATTTAATGATCTAGGATCTAGTAGATTTTATGATCCTAGATCTAAACAATCTTTTAAGTTTGATCATTTAAGAAAAGAACCATCAAATTATGAGGTTAGTGTGTTGAACTGTATATTTTAAATGCGGGTAGTCGCTAGCCATTAAAATTAAGTATCAAAAGTGGTTTTTAAGTTTTGATCTCATAAATGTATTGTTAAGAGGAAGCCACATGGGCATTTTTTGTCTCTTTTAAATGTATGTAAGTAATTAAAGGTTCATATTGATATATTTTAATATGTAATTTCTAAAATTAAATTGAATTCACCCCTAAAAAAATTTAATTTTAAGAATATTATCTAAGGCAGCGGTTCTCAAACTGTGCTCTCCGGAGCCCTAGGGCTCTGCAAGAGTAGTCTAGAGGCTCTGTGGCTCCCTGGGCATATATTATCTGTATTAATTAAATTCAAATTATTAAATTGTTATTATATTTCTTAGTTATATTTTTAATTTTTATACTTGTATTCAATATTATTTGAACTGTAACAATATGTATTATTTGAAACGTTTAAAACTGTAATTTATTTATAAGTCCACATATTTTTTGTAATTAACATCATTTTTTTATGAATTATTGTTGCCTCAAATAGACATTTTTGAATTTTGGGGCTCCGTAATTTTTTTTTGGAACATAAGAGCTCCGTGAACAAAAAAGTATGAGAACGGCTGATCTAAGGCATTTCTTAAGATTTTATTATTATTATTTTTGAGTAAGCTATGACCATTTTTAAACTGTATATTTATTACACATTTTAAAATGATCATAACTTACTTAAAAATAATAATATCAATTAAATCATCAGAGTTGCTCTAGATAATATTCTTCCATTAAATTTTTCAAGAGGTAAATTCACTTAAATTTAAGAAATTATAGACTAAAATGTATTATTGTGAACAAAAAATTCTCAATGTTGTACATTTGTAAGACAGAGGCAACAAATGCCTGTGTGGCGTCCTTCTAATTAAATTTGTTCATGTTTTTTCTTCTTTATAGAATTAGGCAACTAGTATTTACTTAATAAAAGGACCATTTACAAAATAATTAACCGTTATTTATAATGTGGCAATAAAAGTGATGTTTTTCTAATTCAATATTTAAAAATTTAATATTTTACTTAAAATAAATTTCAATATGTGCAGTGTTCTTAAGATACTATAAAATAACTTAAATGTTGATTTAAAAATACATTAATAATACATTTTCATTTTCTGGACTCAATGTTAATATTTAACAACATTTATATAATTTTTAAGAAAAAATTACAAACAAATATATGTTACAGAATTGGGAGCCAGATTCAGAGACAGAAGCTTGGCGTTCAGTATTTGAAACAGAATTTACTTCATATACGTCATTACATTATAAACATGGTACTTGTAGTGTATTTGCGAAACAAGAAGGTTCTTCTACTGTTATAACAGCTTGCATTGAGGATCATGAATTTCAAGCTAAAAATTTTTGGTTTGTTGATTTAATATGACTTATTAAACGAATAAAATAAATTATTTATATATATTTTTTTTATATCGGATTAAAAGGAATGGTCGTTGGCGATCTCAGTGGACTCTTACTGTTGGACCAACTAATATAGATGTTTTAGGATTTTTACGAATTCATGTTCATTATTATGAAAATGGTAATGTTCAACTTGTAGCATCTAAAGAAATAAAGGAATCAATTGCGTTAACAGTAAGATTTAATGATTTATACTCATAATATCTGTTATATAATTTTAACGTTATATTATTTAATTAAGACCGAAGAGTTAGCTGTGAAAGAAGTTTTGAAAATAGCAGAAGATGCTGAGAATGAGTACCAGATAGCTATTACAGAAAATTATCAAACTATGTCAGAAACAACTTTTAAGGCACTCCGTCGCCAGTTGCCAGTCACTAGAACAAAAATTGATTGGAATAAAATTGTTTCTTACAGCATTGCTAAAGAGTTTAAAACTCAATGACCAATCAATCAGTTAATAGTCATTGTTTTATTTTCATGATGCAAAAGACTTAATTGGTGAGTCCTTACGCTTGCTGAAATATTTAAATATTATGAGAAAAGAATCATAATTTGTTTTATTAATTATATCTTTCCACCAATGAGTTAGAAAAAAATTGAACCTTTTAACCGAGGTGTTAGGAAAAAATTGTACAAAACAAAGTGTGAAATTGCTCGCTTGGTATTCAATGTAGTTTTCCTTTTATTTGTAAATTTATTGAGGCGTAATTTTTATTTTTGTATTTTTAATTTTAATTTATTAATTTTGTTGAGTGTAAACAAAACTTTATTATGAAATTAAGCTTTAGGTTTGGAAAGTAAACAAAATTATTCATTTTTAGATTATTACATTTAATGCTAAAAGTTCCAAGGGTATTTTTTTGCTTTTTTGGATTTTAAAACACTAAATAAAGTTTATTATTATATACCTTCAGTTTTAAAACTTAGATAATAAAAATCCATATTTTATAACATTGCAAATGTCTAAAGAATTTTAAATTAGGTCAATTTTATTAACTATTTGTTATGTAATTAATTTATCAATTTTAATCAAAATGTATCATTATTTTTTTTATTTACAATTTTTATTTTATTCAGTAAGAAATAAAAACCGAAAGCCAATAATGTATTTAATAGATTTGAAGCACAAATTAGAGTGTAAAAACTATTCTAAATTAGAATATAGTCAATAGTAATTATGTTCGATAAAAACTTTAATTATGATCTATTATGTATTTTTTTCTTGATACCTATAAACGCATATTTTGAGTTCAATATTTTATGTATTGATTCTAAATACCTTTACTTAAACGCTTTAAATTTTTTTAGTATAAGTTTAAAATGTAATTACTTACATACATTTAAAGTTTGTATCATTATTGGATTAATAATTTTGTTTCAAAAGTTATTTTTCAAATCCTTAAATTTCTGATTCCTGAATTATCTTCAATTACTGTTCTGCTTATAAAGAAATATATATATATTGCTACATTTGTTAATGTTACCCTATAAGTATTACAAGGTTCTTTCGTACATTTAGTATGTTATTGATTATTATTTTTCAAAAAAAACCAAAATTAAACTTGTTAACATTTTTATGATATTGTAAATTTATTTTCAAAAATTTATGTTTTTACATAAATTTCAAATGTTGTTGACTGTTTTCTAGAAAAACAATATTGATGTTATGGATATTAATGAGATGAAAAATTAGATAATTCTTACCACTATTATACTTTTTTTGTATGTACAGATATATATTTGTATAGTCAAATATTTTAAGTACACAAAAGCAATTTTTGTTAACTAATTACATAATACTATATATTAACATATTTACATATATATATATATGCGTATAATATGCTTGTCTAAACTTAAATAAAACTGTAATATATTGCTGTATTAATTAGGAAAAACAATTTTGGTGAAGGTTATGTGATTTAAATGTTGTATAATTGTAATGAATGCCGTTAACAAAACTTTGTTTTTGATTTATAGTAGATTTTTTTCTAATAAATTTGTTTTTGTAATTAAAAAAAATGCATAAAAACGTGCAATATTTAGTTAAAAATATTTAATATAATGTACATTATGTATTTCAAAAAAATAAAATTCTATATCGCGGCTTGTATTGAAATTTAGTGAATTATCATAGGTCATTAAATTGTATACCAATATATTTAAATTAATTTTGGTTTTATATATTTCATGCTCACAAAAACAAATTTTTCGTCATTATCCGTTATGTCAATTATTAACTATTATTAAATGATTATATTATTATTACTTTTATCATTAATATTTTATTATTTATTATTATTATTATTATTATTATTTTTATTTTTATTTTTATTTTTATTTAATTATTATTATTTTAATTTAATTTAATTACTAAACATGAATGTTCTTATAATATGACTTTCTTGTTTAATTTTTAAAATAATGTTATTTAAAGAGGAAAATTATATATTATATTCAAAGCTATGACAATTTATGTTTGCTAAGTTTTTCTGTCCTGATGTTGATATTCATACAGCTTTGGCTTTTAGCTTCTGGTCTTTAAAAGTTGTGTAGATCATTTGGAATTTATAATTGGTTTAAGTCAATATCTTATTATATTGAGTAATATTTATTATAGCTTCTATCCTTTTGTATTGTAGCCTATCAATTATTGTTCAAAATATGGGTGGCTGGGAAGAGTTTATTAAAATGCATTGGTCTTACAAACTAAGAGAAGGGGTATACAACTATAAAAATGTAAAGTAAATCTATACCTATAACCCTGTGTGGTATTAACTTAGGTACATACCTAGTTTATTGAAATAATTTATAGACGAACATACATTTATTTACACAAAAATAATTAATAATAGCGGTTTAAACTTAATATCAACATTTTGTCATCTGTTCTATCAACCTCTTTGAAATTTTATTACATTACTATTACAATTCTGACCAAAATGTGTTGAAATGGATCATTCATGTTTTGTCAATAAATCATATGTAGTAATCCAATACGATACCTTTTGTAAAAAGTTTTTATGATAAATCTATTAACATTTTACATATTATTTGATGAAAATATTTGTACAAGTTGCTTTATTCATCATAACTGATAATATCTCAGTGGAGTATAGTGGTATGATGTTTTATTGTTATAAATCCAACATACTGAAAACTCACTGAATTTGAAAAACCATTTTGAAGAGAATTCAAATGATTGTATAATAAAAACCAAAAAATATCAGAGTTGAAGGTTGCAACATTTCGGTCTGTGTAGCTGCCTGTACATATGTATCAATGCTTAAGCTGATCCTGCTAATACTGATTTACTTGTGTACTGGTCATTGTGTTTATATAATAATATATCATATAGCATTAAATGTTTGTACAATGTACACTTCAGAATTACACCCACTATTTATATCATAACTCTTACACAAAGGAGGTAAATGTTAAAAACTGGATTTATTGCTTAATTAAGTACGAAATGTATCATCATTAAACAATTGTTTCATTTGTGTTCACAATTTTAATTAATAAATGTTACAATAAACTTTCACTACATCATTAATTATTCATACGTTCTTCATTAAAATAGTAGTTACTTAATTTAAGAATGATGTATATATTATTATTATTATTATTAATTATATTATTCTAGTAACATATCATTAAATAATATTATAGTAAAGATGGGTTAGAAACGATAATCATGTTCCATAGTAGTTTGTAAGCACACATTTATACCATGGGTACATATTTCAAAGTACAAAACCATTTTAAAAAAGAAACCGTTTATCACGACACTGGGTTAGCACGACAAAATCTTATGGTCACAGTAGAAATTTATTTTTTTAAATTATTCATAAATACCTAAATTTACTTATTTCTATGATTATAAGGTTTAAGTTATGGGAGTTGCATATTTTTCTATATGCCTACATACTATTGTTTTATAGCAGATTAAATCGAAATTCTATATATAGTATACAATAACTAAATGAAGCTAAAATTTGAAATTCACATTTTCCCAGTTTTAGAGAAACCATGCATACTTTAAAATTTTTATAGGTCGATTTATTATGCATATTTTATAATTTATTTTATACAAAACATTTACATTTGTATTTTATTACTCAAGTAAGTGCCTATTTAATAATCAATTATTTCTAATTTTGTGCAAAGTATACCAAAAAGAAAACATCATTTTAACAAAATTGTTGATACCTAATCGCTACAGAAGCCTTGTATTATTGAAATTGTTTGGCAGAGTGTACCGGGTGATCCGTTTAACGTAAGACCCTCATTATTTCAGAAATACCTAGATATTAACATTTTTTAAAATATTTGTTTTATACAATAGGTAAATCATTTAATATAACATTTTGCTTGAGAAAAAATATTTTCTTAACTATTATTTAATCATCCTTGTTTTTTAATATATTTTCCCATAGATGTGCAAAGACTGAAAAAGCAGGTAGTGCCCATATTATATCATTATTACCAGCCTTCTATTTAAAAGCTTTATAAATACAACACATCTAATTTTCTCAGATTATTTTTTGGAAATTTTTTCTTTTTTAACGTTTAGCATACAATTTAGAATCACTGCTAAGTTACACAATATTACCTACAGAATTCACATAGTGAATCAATAATTTTTTTTCAAACTAGCTTTAAAAATATTATCTAAAATTAAATTTTGTAATTTAGGTTTATTTAATAACTTCCGAGCCCTATGTACCTATGTTTGTATGAATTATTAGTTGATGTTACCTACGATTCCTCAAATTAATCTAGTATATTTTTCGGCCTTTTCAATGTCGTTATAAACGGTCATCAAAAATAGGTATAGTGTTATACCAACTTTGACCTAGCTATACTGCATATTGATTTGTATATCATCAATATCAATGGAAAATATATTATTTAAACTCACATATTTCCTAAACGGCTATATAATATATATATACCTAAAACTCAATCACACACAATTATAAATCATTAAACAAACGTATATAATATAGTTGTAGGCAAATTATAAATATATCAATCAATTACACAATAATATTAAATTATTACAGCAACTTAATATAATATGATATGTTTAACTAAAAAAAAAAAAATAAAAAAATAATTTAATTAATAGAGCATATAGTTGTATGTAGATAGGGGTAAGGGGTACACCTATATTTAATAGTGGCTTGGCGAAAGGGCCGAAGGTAATCAAGAGGCGTTCTCTGATTTTTTGAAGGGTGGTGACTGGTGGGGGGTAGTTAATGGATAATAATTTAGTGTTGACTAGTATTTTAGTAATTCCTACTCATAAGCCTTACTATCGTAAATTTATTATTAAACTAGGTAGCCTCTAAAAAATTTCAAGTTCTGCAAGCCATTGCGTCTATAGGTACACAATGCATATACTTTATAAGTTTTCTTAGATTCGTGGGTACGAAAAGTAACATCTACCTTTCGTACCTACAAATTTTAGAAAAATAGTGAAATGTACACATTTTACATCGTCGTTAGGTCTTAGGTGTATTGCGTGTGACGGTGACAGTAATGCATATCAGCGACGATTTGTGTCGATGCCATATGTAACGAGAATGTGTCATGTGACGAGTATAATTATGTACGTCTTATGAAGTCAGATAGGGCGAAAATCCGTAGGCTAGGCACCTCACTTACAAAAACGATGTCCAATAGGCGACGTTGAGGATAAAAAACGAAAACGGGAAAAAGAACCGTGAGAACTTGTCGATGTACAGTGCGATTGCGCGGCCGTTGCAGAAAGTCGGGTACTGCGGTGCCGCGGCCACGGTGGCCACACTTCTGATCGGACTTCGGTTTTTCGGGTCCAGTTCCTAAAATCAAAATCAAAATATTATTAATACTACGCATAAATATATAGTTACGTACACTATGCAGTGCCTGGCTCACGAGGGTTTGAAGTGTGAGCTGGGCAGCATAACACCGAAGTTTAAAAGTTAAGTTATATCTAAGTAACTTAACTAGTTAAAAAAAAAACGAATAACTTAGTTATTTATTTCTTTAAATAGTTAATTAAGCTGAAAGGGGTTCCACACTAGGGACTAGGGTACCGTTTTTATAGCAAAATAGACCTACTTACTATATAAGTATATTAAACGCGTTTCTATGTCTACTGGTTTGAGTTTTATTCCGATAATAGTTTTAAAAGCATCTGAATTTGTATGGTGTTTATTTTGAAACCTTCGAATTTCGAGTCAGAGTTATACAAAAACAAATATTATAAATATATTTTAAAAAGACTTTTTTTATCACTGAAATTTAAAAAATATGAGATTTTTTTAAAATTAATATATTAAAAATGTGGCTCAAAGGATTCAAAGTTGACATAAAAATACGAAATGAAATCTGTTTTCAACATTATTATTGGTGTAATGTGTAAAACTTAAGTTTGTAAGCTGGAACTCGTTTAAGGTCTGAATTATAATAACATTTCACCATGAAATAATTTCGATTTTATGTCTATATAATAACGATTGCATGTGAACATAAGCGTAAAATTGTGAGATGGGGGGGGGGGGAACTAAGAGGATTATAGGGGACTCCTCTGGAATATTATTGTTATCTCCCAGCAATTATTTTTTTAGTCACATTTTTAGAATGTATGTTGTGTATCGAATCATTTTAGGCAATAGCCTCGCCAAATAAATTCATCACTCTACTCTTATGCAATGCAACGCTTAAACTCCGCCCGCAGTCGAAGGATTTAATGCAAAAGTAGACTTTATTGTAAATTCAAATATGTTCTCAAAATTATTATGGGAGTAAAACAGTACGTTGAAACGTAATTGAAACGTGTGATTGGTGGAAATCAAATAATATGACATTTAGATTTTGGTGGCATTGACAACCTAATAATGCATATATCACAGCAAGGATCATGAATTGATATTTTTGGAGGGCCTGTACCTTATGAATTTAGGATGTTTTCGGTGGCCATCAAAATGTAACGTCTATCCAAAGAAAGTAATGGTGAAATTAAAAAAATTGAATTAAAATAGAGGTACCTCAGTTAATTTAATACTCCATAGTAAAAATTATTTTAAAAATAAATTTCCTGTCCGCGGGCCAGATAAAGTTCGTCCGCGGGCTGCCATTTGGCGACCACTTTGATTAAACAGTGACTACCTATATATAATAATCAAAGTTGGTTACACGCAGTTGAACTGCAGCGCGCGGTCGTGGTTCTTATTCAACCATATTTTCGTTCAAACGATCTACTTTAGGCTATGGCAAGTGGATCGCGATGTATGTGTGTGTATGTTTAAATTTTCATGTAGGTAGGTACACAGTACACACAAACGGTCCAGTGGAAACTCACCTTAATTCAAACGGGCGCGGACGGCCGCTAGCGGATAGTGGATACACAATTACTATTTATACACATTTACTAATTTACATTACTATTTTATATCACCCTTGAAGTGTATATATAAGAACATTATAACAATTATTCGGGTCAACAGTCAGGTTTTAATTTTATAAACAAATACCTAAAACTTTTTTTTTGGAGGGGGGCTTCACATACTCTTTATTGTAAGCATATGTTAAATTGTTAATACGCCAAATGGGGAGAGGGTTATCAATTTAATTTACATTTATTTTAAAGCCTCGTAGGGCCGGGGGGGGGGGCACGATTCTAGTTAATATTTTTATGTTTAAGAGGATACAAAGTCCCTTCCAGATGAACCTATAAACATTTTTCAATCTCTCCTCCTTTCCCACCTAATTTAAAATTTCCGAACACGCCCCTGAAATGTACCTTTTCCACCAAAACCTAGCACACCGTGGTGTGGTCACTGGTCCGTGTTCGGTATAAGTTTCTTGTTATTTACCAAATTAAAAAAAAAATTGAAAAAGTATTTTCACCGGTTTATAGCCACCGGACATCAACCGTACGGTAACGGATAGGTACCTACTTGAAGTAGATATATGGGTGGGTGATTAATTTGTACAACTATTTAGTATACTATTATTTATTATGGTAGGTAACGACTAACGAGTTAACCACACGTTTTATACGAACACTGTGGCAGCGGAAAAGCACCACGACATATTTAAAAATAATTATTGCATTCACTGACTCGTAAATAAAAGTTTTTGTTTTATGTAGAGGTAGGCACACATTTCGAAACAGCTGACCGCTGTTTGTTGACTTATGTGAGCGAGGGATTAAATCAGTCCAAATTATAATTTTGAATGTGTTATTTTCATTCGTTTATGTCTGTATAAACTTCGGTATGTGTCAGTATATAGGTACCTTGAAGTCGTCGCCTCCTCGGATGTCTTCTTCTGAGTATCCTTTCATCACTTTGGTTGCCACCGGTCCCATGTAGTTGTTGACGACGGCGAATTCCATTAAGGACAGAAAAACGAAAATCGAACACGAAGACATCCATATGTCGATGGCTTTCACGTAGGATACAGGCGGCAGTGACTGTTGTGACTGAGTGTTCTGAGTGGCTGCGTAAAAATTATTGTTTTTTTTTTTTAAATAAACGGTTTTACGACTCATACTGTGACCTATATTGATTCGATTAATTTGATCAGTTTAAGCTTTACCGAGCGTCAATAGCGAAGTCACGCCCAACGTCACTCTAGCTGGTATGGCCTCAGGTTTTATCCAAAACGAAATCCACGACATGACAACGATCAGCGCCGATGGAATGTACGTGTGGAATAAATGGTACCCTAAGCGTCTTCGTAAATTGAACATAACGGCCAAACATGTGAAATTCCCTATAAATTATAAACAATATAATATCAGATAGGTATCTACCTAATGTAAATTGAATCACGCAACCCAGGTTTTTTTAAATTATTATTTTAATTTTCAATAGCATTCTAACAATACTCGAATTGATAAAAAAAATACGAGTTTTACGTACATTATTATTTACCAGGGAATCCTATATTTATTATTTGTATAGTTTATTTTGATGTCAATATTTATATAGGTATTTTACTATCAAGTACCAGTCTTGTAAGGTATTTGAATAAATGTATTCAAATACTCTTTTTTTATTTGAATACTATTTTAAATACTTTTTGGAAAAACTATTCGAATACGCAGTACTATATAAAAAAAAAGTTGAGCGGCCCCACAGAGATTTCCTCGGTAGTTCCCCGGATTAATCTGGGCCTTGTAGTATGTACACGAGTGTTTAAAGTATGTAATATTCAAATATTAATTAATAGTATTATATTTTTCACACCTGTTGAGTATTCTATTGTGCAATCAGTAGTAATATTGTTCGATATGTCGAGTTGAGGCAACTCGATATCTGGATTTACCACTAATGGATCTGTCATATTCCATATAAAAACCAAATCGTGAGTTGTATGAGACACTGGAAAGTTAAATATTAGTATTAACAATATATAACAAGTATCTTAACTATAGTTAGTGCACTGAAAATACTATATGGTCTATAGGTGACTGGGAAATCATTACCAGATTAATTGATAAATTAACACAATTTAATATAATATTATACGTGTGCCTGAAGTTGTATTATACTTGATAGGTAGGTCACCACACGTATATATTATTTTATTGTTTAGTAAAATTTGTCACTCACGGCTTTCGATCATCATTGAACATATTTGAGTGTCATGTGGATATGATTCAAATTTCATTGCACACGATAATACCAACGTCAATCTAGGAGAGGCAACAAAAAAAATCACGAATGTATTAGTATGAATTATATAGTCAATACGTGTATGCCGACAAAGGCTTCAGCCCTTAAACAAATGTGTAGAAACATGCGTTCGACGAAATAAGAGCAATCTCCTGTCGATCGTCGGCTACAATTATTGCTAATTTAACAACTGAGTACCTACTGACTATAATAATCTATATCACAATGAATTTTGAATCTCCCGTTAAGTAAACTGTGAGAAAAAAAAATGTACAGGGTGATTCACCAAGCACCCTCATCCCATTTTTTTTCATTTAACTATGAGTTTATTCGAATTATGATTTTAGACGAAAATGTTTTCAAACAACGTTTACTGAGTTATGTAGGTTATAAATAACTAAAGAAAGATTTAATACTCCAATTAAAATACACATTTTTGGCAAGTCCCTACCAAATTGCGCCTGTGGTGAGCATACTTGGTAAATCCCCCTGCATAACAGTTAACTGTACGTAGTATCGTAATTCGTAACGGATCAATTCAAAATATCTGAAACTTCCAGGGCCGACGCCGCCACGTTTTTGCCCTTAATTCATCCCCGTTTGTCTCAATTCCGCGATTCGTCGTACTTAGACATATACAGCAGAGTCTTGTCGTGGTACAGCCACAAGTAATGGTTGGGTATGCTCATCTCGTGAAACGTGACTTTTTTGGCGTTCTTGAAGAAACAATCTGGTCGCCATATGTCGTGCAACCATTCGACGTCCAGTATGCGGTAGTCTTCGCTCATGTTTTCGGGGAGTCGAAGTCTCTGGTCCCTCCAACTTTGCGCCAAGAATATGTCCGCCACGTACGTCTGGAATCAGAAACCTAGTTACCTATGTATGACTATACCTAGGTTGTACGCGTAGACACGTAGTCTATTACAGGTTAGGTCAGTTATACAACATATAAGACATATGTACAACCCCCTCCCCATGGCCTCACACCTATAAACTTACAGTATAGCTGAAGATAAATTGCTCTGATTGAGTAAATAACAGTTCATCTTATGAGATTATTTTGGACTTGTGACGTGTTATTCTAAAAATCATCACTTGGCTCGTTACGTGGTTATCAAGGTTTAATTTGGCCAATATTCAAATTTATTCAAGAATACACACGTCATGGACAAATAATTATTTGAGTATTTAACGATGTTGGAATAATCTACTTATTTGAGGAATACCAACAGTCGGGTTTTTGACAATAATATAATATATATTACACAACAATTAGCAACTATTAATTGAAGTATAATATTTCAAATAATTACAAGGAAATATCAAAATTTACCACTATAGGTTTCACCTAGAAATGTATTTCAGGTAATTTTACTTATTTTCAGTGCACATTTGTACGAGCTTTTTGTGTAAAATAGGAAATTCAAAATATTTTATCTAGAAATTTGGTTGTTATAATATGTATTTGCTTTAAGAGGATGTCATTGATTGACTGTTTTCTATTTCTGGATCCCCGAAAAATAGACAAAATGCATTCACACGAAATCATTTTTTTTCATGTTTTTGAGTAATCTTAGAGTAGAGGCACTCATGATAAAACTGTCAGAGAGTACAAATTTGAAAAATGTTAAGAATATAAATTTATATTCATTCAAATTTACAATTTTTATTTTTAAAGTCGAGTGTTAACTGTTAAGTCAAATAATAATAAATTATATAAAACTGATGTGTTTGACCCTAAAAAATATTGTCAAAATATTCGTATGATTTTTGTAGTAGGTGATTTTACTCTACGATTACTCAAACTCATAAAAAATAAATAAATATTATTTAGGAATTATTATTTATACTGTTGTATTCAAATACGTTTAGAAACCAGGAATTTATTAGCACTTTCGTAGAGTGAGCTTTCCTAAATTGTTTTACTGTAGGACGTAGGTATTTCGTATATGTACATGCATTTATTATTAATCTATATATTGTAAGCTGCAGGGGCCCTTGTTAGTTGCTTGTCAATTATTGTCATTTTAATTTGACTATAATATATTATATTATTCGCATTATAGTAGGTATTGTTCAAGGAATGGTTGAGCGTATCCAAGTGTAGCGTGGTGATGAATTGTTTATATGCGGGACGGAGCTGTAGCCTACAATGTTTTGGTATAGGTGCACAAAATATATTTTATAAATGCTATTAAAAAATGCACATGGTGGGAGGGGGGGGGGCAACATATTAGCAACATATTAGCTGTACAACATATTCCGATGGCCTGTAGTCCTCTCGTCCACCCCCGCCCCCCACCATTTTACACTTATGGGGCCCATATAATTGCACACGAACGATAATATGATTATTCACTGCTAACGTTGTAGCGTCGGTGTAATTTTGATTTTTATGTTTACCATGGATTCTTCGTTAATGGAATCCAAAGACAGCACGGTGACGTGGAAGTAGACAATGGTCGGTTGCCCTTGTACTTTTGGCGCACGGTTTTTGTCGTAGTTCTTTGGATTGATCGGTAGTATGTCGGTGAGTGACAAACTGGTTTCGAAGACGACATTGTCACTCTCGGCAATATCGCTCTGATCACTGAAACAAACCATTTGTGCACAGTGGTTATCGACAAACGAAAATTGAATAAGAATAAGGAATTGGAAGGCTAATTATTTTTTTTATTTTCAAAAACTGTACAAAAAACTACATGTATTATGATCGTGATTTAGATTTAATATACAAAACGTCCTCAGCGTGGGTGCTATAGGGTGATAATTGACTAAAAAAAAAAAAGCCATTTGGTTCAGCAAGAAACTAAAATTAAAATGTCTAGGTTAGGCTTCTAATATCTCTTCACGCCTTCACTTTACAGGCAGGTTTCACGGATACACAGAATATACATGTATGTGTGTTGACGTAAAGTAAGACGATGCCTTATCATAGGCAGGTATTACGATCAAGATCTGACATGTGTAAATACTAAATACTGTTTAAGCCAAAGTGCTCTAAAATTGAGAATACCTCATAGCGTACCTATTCCAATATGAACATTATAATATACATTTATGCACACACACTGCCCCCCCCTCTATTTTAATTTTAATTTATCGTTTTATAACTTGTAAAAACAAAATAAATAGTAGTATATAGTGGTGTGTTATCGGAGATTTTTAACTTTGCCTCCCTCCTCCTATTTCTGCTAGCACCCTTGCACACACACATCATATACGTATATCTAAATATACACAATATGTGAATATGCTATAATACGTGTATTGTATAATCATTCGAGGAGATTAAATCGTCGAACTCATTAAGTAGGTAACATATTTAATTGACTAAGCCTAATTCAATAAAACATACTTATAAAGTAGGTACTCATAAATAGGTAGGTAAATTGATCAAAGTCGCTCTGCTTGCGGGGCGTGGGAACGGCAGCGGAAACGCGAGATTTCAGTTTATCACCGTCGTCTGTTGCTTACGTTAACGTTTCGAGCCTCCTATAACTGGTTGCCGGTTACGTTTTGGTATTTTGAGTATTCTTATAGATTTGGTAACGATTAACGGTGTTTCGAAAAACAACGATAGCCGCCGGACACGTCCTCGAAAATGTCAAAACATTGAGCAAGAACAGGACGTGTTAATATGGACAGTAAGTAATAACGCTACTGATTGCCGAATAACAGATGCAGGTATTAATTATTTTCAAAAATAGTTTTAGGTATACGTAAAACGCATGTTAAAGGTTTGCAGTTGTCATAATCATCTTAGCCCCCCCCCCCACCGTTACAACAACAAGTGGAAACTTTTCACCAAATGTTATACATAGCTGATCTAACCACTCTTTTAGCACCCCCTAGTTGCGCCTATGTGACTATATATTCAACACATAAATAGCTACATTTGCCCGCATCTATACAAGCGCGTTTTATGCACTTCCGTGGTAAGTACCTACCTACCTGGCTACCTGTAATAGTTCTTAAATAACGTTGTATGTCATAAATCATTATAAAATTAAGATTTACCATTACACTGTGTTTAGGTGGTAATTATGGACAAAATTATCGACCTACCCGATAGGTACCTACGTCTATAGATTAAGCGTTTCGGGATATTTGTTCTGTATACAATAGATTAAAAACGAACAGTGGCTAAGAGTATGTCTGCAGCGCACTGTTTGTTTTCTCTCTCTGGCCCAAGAGCAACATAGACAAAACTCATTTACGCAGAATCATTTTTTAAAAATGTTTTTGAGTCATTTTAAAGTGAAATCACCCATTACAAAAACGACAGAAAATATTGTTTTCGAGTGTATGATGTATCGATTTGTCTAAATATATTGTCTCAAAACAATTTAAAAATAATTTAAACTTACACATTTATTTTTTATTTTTAAAGTTGAATACATTAGCAAATTAAAATATAAAACCGATATGTACTTTCAAATCTTAATATTATAATGACAAAAAAACATTATTTAATAATTTTGAATACAATACCATTATTATAATTTAAACGTAAATATCAGACGTTAAAGGTGGCCTAACACTCTATAATCTAAATTATAACCATAGTGGCATAGTGATCATTAATCATATAATTCATAATAAATTATTACTATGGCTTCGTTATCTGCTGCTGCGACTTATATAATAAATAATAATCATTTTCATCATTGGCGGTATTTCAAATGTTTACGTCGGGAGGGGGCCATTGAACAAATTCATGCCAAACAGACCCACGAAGAGCGAAAACCTTCTACATCACACTTTATAATTTGTTTGCATCTCACAAGATTTTAATGCCACATACTTTATTGACTCATAGTCATTTGTCATTATAAAGGTACTATTAACTACTCAGCTCTGCCCATAGAGGAGGTGTAGGTGTTGTCACCCGACCAGTGGTGGCTCGTGGGGTTCACAGAAGGTGGGACACAAATATTTTCCCTACTCTGTTATTACAACTTACCACCTCTAATTTCTGTTGGATGTAAATAACTCAAGTCTCATATTATGTACAAAACAACTTTTAATGCACGCTTTAAATTTCTAGCCTAATTCCAGAATAATTACAGCCTAATTCTTGTTGACGAGTGGGTGAAATCTACTGCTGTTCATCGGGGCACAACAGGCATCTGCCTGGTACTCCCGTCTAATAAACCTTGTAGGTTTTAAGGACTCTCTAATTCGAACGCATATTTTTATTTCGATAATATTATCAAATGTACTATATAAATATTTTGATGGAACTATGAAAATAAGGCATTACATTTTTTTATTTCAATATCTTAGGTAGGTTGCCTGTTCGCCCCAAGGCACACATCCATCTACAACAAAATAACTTAACACCAAATAGAAACAATTAGGAAATAGTGCTAGTTAAAGTCAAAAATAAAATAAACACTAATTGGTTAAACCACAAATTAAGATTAGGTATTAAGAGTATGCCTCACCAATTTTGTGTTAATAGCTTTAATATTGAAGTGAATTGACTTATTTTATAGAGGTATTCAATCATGATTTTAGATTCATATTTATGCACGCCTACTGCCTTACCATGTATACATTTTTTTCTGATAATTTTATAATTTTTAAATTGTAATATTTTAGATAATCATATATAACTTGCATAAAAATTGAATAATGAATAAAAAATCATGCAACGATCAGTCTTATCTGCAAGTTTAATTGTAGGTCAATGGACAATGACTTATATTAAAGCTAATGATGCAAGATCGGTTCAGCTGAACGGCAATTTGCTATGTTGTGCGTGGTTCCAAGAGTGGAAACAAGTGCGTCGACATCGTTTAGTATTATGTCAGATATGAACCTGTATAATAGTCATATACATTTTTAATGACAATTTATATATTATAATAATCAGCTGTGGTTACGTTTGATTAAGTTTTTGTTATCAAGGAAAAAAATAATTCTGATAAATTTGAAATAATTCATGTTATATAGATAATAATTATATATATATGTATTATGTGATGAATGGTTTTAATTGCATAAAGATGGGTAGGAGGGCCAAGGTAGAGGGACTTTATACATCATATCATCATCTACGAAGTACATCAGCTCGTATAATATCTAATATTTACTATTACGGAATATTTAATATTAATATAATATACGCAGTTGACTAATGACTTCATATCTAGACTGTTCTGTGTACCTATGTCCTATATACTTTACAACAATAATATTATTATTATTGTACACCAGAAAAAGACACCACTTAATAACATTGGCATAACCGTACATAGGTTAAAATAAAATATAAAATATAAATGGATTAGTAATTCAAATTGCATCCAAATACTTAGTCTTACCTAAACTGTATGTTTTTTATTAATGATATCCAATGATAAAAAAAGAAATTTGGGCAAGTGAATCTCCCTCTGCCGGAGCTTAGAGGGGTCGCTATAAAGGGTGTAACACAATATTTGAATTTAATGATATAAAATCATCGTATACAAAAAACAATTCTGAACGAAGACGGTCTATCATTACATGGCTTATAATATTCTACTATGTATATTTTATGATATTATTGTTATTTAAGTAATTTATTTTACTACGAGACATTATAGTAATAAAATATGTTAGCCAAAAAAATTGCATTTTAAATTGCCATTATGTGTACATAATATATTAATAAAATAATAATAATTTTGGTACCTACATTAAGTTTGAATTATATAGTAATTATATCGAAGAATAACATTTAAAATTATAACTAAATAACTAAAAAAATAACCAAATAACTATTCTTTGTTAAAATATCTGATTTCGTCTAAATTGTAATGTGTATGCGGTGTATAGAAAATGCTAATATAAACATTTGGGGACAATTTAAGTATCCATCTACGGTTATTATTTTATGAGTTACATTTAAAAACTAAATCATTTTGGTCTAAAACTAGTGTTGCGTAAAAATCCCCGTTTTTCCCTTAATTTAATTTTAATTTTACTGGACATCTTTGAAGAATTCTGGGAATTTTAAACTCTCGAAAATTTATAGACGCTTATGTTACAATTCTAAAAGTATTCACAAAACCTATATAATTTTTGTTTTTATTTTTTAATTTTGTCAAAAAAAAAAAAAAAAATCGGAATGCTAAATTACATTTTTTTATGGTAAAAATGTTCAAAATAGTGAATTTCTAAATTAAAACGTTTATTTAATAAAAAAAAATTTTTAATTTTTCAATATTTTTTTGTAGTAAATCAATTCAAAAGCAATTACTTTATTCAAAATTTATTTTTGGGAATTTTCTGGTGTAAGTAAATCATAAAATTATTATTATTATTACATCAGTTAAAAAAAAATTAATTAAAATCATTTTTTCATTTTTATGATCTTTTTGTCACACTCTGTACCTACCTATATTAATAATATATAAATAAAATAAGTGTAATAATAATTATATCATGTGATTTACGTAAACCGTTACAATTCTGTGCGTTAGGTAGAATATATTAAGATACTACCGTGCACACGAGCTAAGATTTTTTCATTTTTAGACTCATTTTCGATGTTTGAAGAGCATAAATGCAATCAAAATCTAATATGGTAGCTAGTAGCTACTATTGACCTTTACAGGAATTCCGCGTATACATACGTCTGTGCTTTCCTGTGTTAAATGTCGACGACCTGTCGTAAACCCGGTGTCCCGGTCTATTATATACTGTGTGTTCACCATTGGCACAAATTCGGTTTAAGTGTTCCATGAGTTTCGTTAACTCGTTTACGTATGATTTTGTATCCGGCTCCTAATTACTTGATGTAAACTGCAATTTTAAATGCTTGGGACTGTTCCACGGTAAGGGGAAGTGTCGAAAGTGTAGTCGAAAGTGATCAAGCCAAGTCTCCGCATCATGTCCATAGTTGTGTGGCGTATGCAATTAACGTAGTATGTGTGTGTGTGTGTGTGTGTGTGTGTGTGTGTGTGTGTGTGTGTGTGTGTGTGTGTGTGTGTGTGTGTGTGTGTGTGCGCGCGCGAGCGAGGTTCAGAGAAAATGTAAGTAATGTAAAAACAGATTTTTCTTTGTAATGTTGTTTTAAAATCTGAAAGTTACCTTCACATAAAATATTCTGTTTTCTTCAAAAGTATTAGACCTGTAAGATTTGATTATTAAATAGGTATAGTACCTACCTAACTAGCCGTTCTGCAATATAGTACATATTATTTGACGTTAACTACTTAAACATAAATATTATTTATGTTCACACCGGAAGAGCTTGATGTCAGATCCATTGGAAAATTAATGAATACAATAATTATATAAAATCATAGTAAAAGAAAAACACGTAATAGAGTTCAAACATTTTTGCAAAAGTACAATTTTTAGTGATCGAAAATAAAGGAAAACAAACTACAAATGTATATAAGCCGGCGTGTATGGATGCAGTGTCAAAATGTTGTGGGCAATTTTGAGTCAAAAGTGCTCACAAATTGTGTACTCAGTATTTTATTAACGAGTCCCTCTCTACGACATTCGCTGGACCGCGTTAACCAAGGTGCAAAAAGTGCATCAGCTCCAAGCGGTAATTTTTGAGGGGTGTCAAAATTTAAGGATTAAAAATTAAATTTTGTGTCCATCCAAAAAAAATATTAGATGTCTTAATAATTGTTTACAGAAATAATTGTTCCTCTTTACTATGATATTATTACTATGGCACTGATGGCAATTATTGGCTCTATTGGCTCCATTGACCCCTAGTTTGGCTCTGACGACATTCAACGCACGTAAAGTTGTAGTTTAACGAGATCGCAGTGTAAAAATGTTAAACATTATTGTGTATAATGAGATTAAAATGGTCGAGTGTGAGACGGTGACTTCGACTGTTAATAACCAAAATATTTCATTCGAATTATTAAAACTGCAGTGAGCAGATATATGCTTAAGATATGAAATTTTCGATCTCTCTTGACTGCAGTGCTGACGTGCACGCTTCGCCCCCGGCGGGTGTGTGTTTATTTGTGTGTGTGTGTGTGTGTGTGTGTGTGTGTGTGTGTGTGTGTGGATGGACAAGCGGGTATTGGGTATTGCGGGTGGCGGTTGTGGCCGAAGCGTTTCGTATACCTCAAGGGAGACCGCAGCGAGTCCTGATCGAGTTTGTAGTAGAAATTTTGACGCCTGTCCCGGACGCACAGCCGCCACGTCAGGTATTCGATTTGTTTCTCGGTGTCGCCGGTGAAGTTGCGGGGCAGGGGCGGCACGGCGGGCACCGGGATCCAGTCGGGGTCGTACATGCCGCCGCCGGTGCCACCGCCGACGACGAATTCCTGTCGCAGCTCCAGCTGCTCGATGACGGGCACCAGGTTGGTGAGCAGCGTGCACCGGTCGCCGATGTTCCGGCAGTGTTTGGTCATCGTTTTGCTGTAGTACTTCTTGTCCGCGTACACGGACACGTTGCCCAGCCTGTCGACCAGCACGTCCAGCAGATGGACGTTGAGCCGCCAGCCCGTGCCCACCTGGACCATCACGAAGTCACCGGCGCCGAACGGCCCGGCCCGCCGCTCGAGCGTCAAGCCGAGTTCGCGGAGGTCGCGCGTCTGTTCCGTGACGGAGCACTCGCTCACGACCTCGTGGTACACCAGCCCGGTGACCAGCAACAGGTGTTTGTGTAGCCTGTGACTTGGCGGCCAGCCGTCGGCGCTCGCCGGCAGTCGAGGCGGAGCAGGTGAAGTGGCCGGCGGAAGCGGCGTCGGCGATGGCGTCGTGGCCGGTGGTGTCTGCGGTGCCGGTAACCGCCGATGTACCGGCGGTTGCTCGGCCGGCTGCCTGCGCGATTCTTCGCAGCCGTCGTCGTTGGAGGCGGCCGCGGAGGTGGCCACGGTGGAGGACGGCGACGCGCACTCCGACACATGCGGCCGGTACCTGAACGTCGGGTTGGCGGATCGTTTGTGGTGCCGCGAGTAACAGTGCCGATATTTCCTGTAAACGCGCAAACCTGCATAGTAGGCAAATATATAAACGGTAGACGCGGGCAGATTGCAATGAAAAAAGAGCGTGTGCAGCGGGATATAATAGATATGCAGCCGGAATTTTAAATGAAACTTCTTAAGTTCTTTCTGTCCACGAGGTTAAATCAAAATGTTTGGTTACTCTATGTATATAGAACAAACCCATTATACGATAAGCTCAATCGATTATAGCTTTAAGCTTAATGGGGGGGGGGGGGGAAGTCACAATGCCGAACTGCCATCACACTTGTACCCGTTAAAATTCAAAATTTTCCACTACTCGACCAAAAACTGTTTTCGAGGTCAAACAAACGTCGTTCTACGACGTGTGAGTAATTTGAAATCGACTGTTAAAACCGATTTTTCCGAAAAAATTGTGTTATTTAAAAATAATTATTGAGTTTTTAATTCCGCTGTGGCTAAGAATTATGAGAGGTAGGCAGTCTTGTTAAAATGAGTCTTGTTATTTATATACAATGTGTCATTGCTTGTCCGAAGGTTTTAGATCAAGTGCGAACTGGGAACTGAGAATTCCATTGTTCCAAGTTCATTTGGCCTATCCACAAGGCGTTTTTAGGCCAACATTTTTAGTCTCATATACATAGTGTAACAGAAAAACCTGACGAATGAAATAACTTCTGTTATAATCAATATTTAAATATAATAATATCTATATTTTTTGAATTCATAGATCCCTGCATTGCAAGAAGTTGCAGTGTAACATTTTTTTGAACACCAACAATCTTACATTTTAAATGTTATACATTTTTGTTGAACAAAATCAAAATTCGAAATTGCTAATTTGGAAATTTTTTTTAGACAAATTTTGATCATAAAAAGTTGATTTAAGTTGAGTAGTTTTTACAATTTTTTTAAATAGAAACAGTAAGTACCCATAATGTGTTATTTTGTTATTGTTCCTGCAGTGCCGTATGGTATACGATTTCAATCGCGAATCTAATAATTGACGTATATTATAAGGCAATCGTAAGAAAATTCTTTTGTATTCGTAAACTGCTAGAACGGTCACTTGTACATTATAAAATAATGCAATAATTTTATTGATACTTCTCTCTACTAAAATTGTATTTTTTATTTTTTATTTTTTGTACTACAATATAAACAAATAATTGTGGGCCCGCGCGGTGGTTATAATTTTAAAAACAATAATTTTAATTTTGAATGTTAAATATTGGCATTGAAGTTGTTATTTTAGAATTTTTATCATAAGTTTAAAAATTGATTTTAACAAAATATATATTATATATTATGTAGTAATAGTGCATGGAGAGTAACGAAACAACATTATATCTACCTTTTATAATAAGTTATTATTAACAACATGTAAGTGTCCGTGTGATTAACCTGATTTTATCTAAATATCGATCTTCGTCGTTCGAATGCCGATGGAACTCTGACAAGATATAATAAGGCAGGTACCACAAACATTGCACTACCCGACGAACAATTGTTAATTGACACACGTGTACTCGTAATATTATTCTGTCTGCTGTCAACTTCCAATACGACGAAACTTGAATCCACATTTTAATTAAATAATTTAAATATTAAAATTTGTTGGAAATCCATCCACGAATTGCTGGTGTGCTGAGCATATGCACCAAATAGGTTAGTTTTATTTTGTGTTTTTAGTTATTTATTAAGGCATACCTAATTGCATAACTATTTATTTTAAATTTAACAAATTGTCTGTGCAATTAATCAATATTAAATACTTACACGAAAACAAATATACATACATTATATACGAAAATTGTTGTATATAATTGTAGTGAATTCACGCTTAAAAACAAGTTGGCACTCTTTGTATATATGAGATTCTAAAATCCTGTTTTATTTTATTTATTAATACTTTTTTTTTAGGTCATGAAACGTTTTGTTGTCCTCTTTTCACAGTCGGATATTGATTCTGTTACTTCTAAAAAACATGTTCAAACAATGTTCAAAACAAGAAAGGGAAGAGTTAATATAAAATCCAGACCAAATTTTAAATGTATTTGCACGTGATAAGTTGAGGAGATTAAATTTTTCCATGCAACTGTATTTCAATGTATTTTTTTTTAATATTATAGTACTGGACTATTTATCCAATATTTTTAACTAAATGAAAATTATTCTTTATTAAATCATAAAAATTTTACTGTATTATCTTTTATGGTTAAACTAATGGGCCCGCCCAAAAAAAATATTCTTGTACGCCAGCCTGTGATAATAACTTCTAACTCAAAATAATTTGCAAATGTTCCTGATTTTTAAAATTTTTGTCATAATTCGAATTTCAGACGGTCATGAAAAAATATTGTGGATTTACGCTCTACTTTTATTTTTAATGTCCATTAACAACAACGCACGTGGAACCTTGTATTAAATTTTCAAGTTTTTTGAACGAGCGAAATATTTTTTATCTACATTAGTTATAAAAAACTAATAATAATCGAAAATTTCATACCTATGCCTATAAATAGTTCAACACGAGTCAAACTATTTTGAAAATTGTATGCTGTGTAGAAAATGTGGATGTACACATTTAGTGGAAATGCCATGTATTTAGAGTATTTTTTTTAGTGTCACATCAAAAACCAAAATCGATTTTGAGAACGAATTTCCGTTTTTTTTTAATTTTCATTTTTTTACCTTTCGAATGCACAGCCTAGATTCACTTTCCCATAGGAAAGGATACTGAAGTTGAAAATCAAAGCATATTTATTTAAACTACTTATAGTGTGCACAGACACAAAAAAAAAAACAAAAAAAAAACACACTCATCATTGTAAAATGAATGCAATCATCTCCCCGCTCAGAGTCTAAAATATTTAAACAGCACTGATTGCTGATTGACACAGCGGATTCACAATGTTCGAGGCTTAAGGATGTGATAATTAATATATTTCCAGAGATCATAAAGTTAAGTGCCTACGGTCCAAAAAAAGTAATAAGTACAGGTACCTATTCATCTACCAAAATCAGCTGATCGCTGTCCGGGGTTCCATTGTACGATTACTATAATGGGTAGTCGCATAACCCTAGTTCTCCGATTGAAAAATGAACAAATTAAAAATACTTAAAAGCGGTGCTATATAGGTATACCGATCTTACTTTTAGTGTATCTCAGTTCACTGGCAAATCAACGTCTGTGTAGCCTTTATTTGTAAAATAATTTGACCTAGATCTAGATGTGCAACCCAAAAGTAGATTGAATTTAGCACTTGACATATTTTTACAGTGGTTCAAAATACACTAAACATTTTCTGATATCTCTAAGAACGGTCTCTGAGATTTTCGTCAAAATCAGCCGAGTAAATTTGGTTTTAAGATATAGTAGTAAAATATTGGGTAAAATCGGATTCCATTTTGGTATATTTTTTTTGATATTATAATTTGGAACAAGCCGAAATTGGGTTGATTACAACTTATAAGTTAATAGCGAATTTAGGATTTTATTTTGTTCGCAATATGAAATGCATATGTTTATAATAAACATTATTATCTATTAGTCATTAAATGATTAGTTTAAGGGATTTTTATATTATTAAATAAATGTAACTTCAGTCTAATTAGCTATAAGATAAAATGTTATAAACACAAAGTATAAAGTTAGGTTATACGTTATAAAGTTATTGATTACGTATTAAAACGAATATGTTTCAAAAACCTAAATAATAAACCTACATAACATATAAATTAGTTTATAAAAAATATTTTTTTTTAAATGTTAGTACGTAAAGGTATACGTGTTACGTCACAACTATATGTTAACACAGATAAATGAGTCATGAAAGCCAGGCCTTTTGGCCACCCTTGAATCTACCAGTCATGGTTACACACCATAACTAAAATAGTGTACACGATTATAGCTACTGTTACATCACACGAACTTCCATTTTTATTTTTCTCTAAACCTCACTTATAAACGGAGTATAACGAATTGTACACACAAATGTGTAAGTAGACCGTTATGAGTATATTATTTTGTACCTAATAATACTAACTCCACGATTTCACGTGTTTTTTTTCATAGCCGTAGCGACGTGGCTAGGTCAGCGGAGATGGGTGTGCAGGCGTCTTTATAGTGCGGTCGGTCTAAAAACACTCCAAGGGCAATTAATAGACGGCGAGGGTACAAAATATAATAATAATTTATTATAATAATAATAATGCGATGCAAGAGTGGTTGTGACGCCAAATGAAGTGCGGCCAAGTGAGGTTTGAAGTTATTGTTTGTAGGAGCTATTACGAACAGGAGTTGATGTTTAAAATATTCAGTAATAAATTCGTTTCCATAGAACTGCCTTATGAATAATAATTATTGTCCATTCATATATTTTTAATTAAATAAATTACAACTTTGTTCGGAAAGTGTATAAACGTTGGGTATCATTGTTTGTTACTTCATTTTCAATTACCGTTAATTGCATTTTGTCGTTTTTGACATGTAATTATACACTAGTTGTAACTTAATTATACTCATATCAACTGTCATTTAACATATTATAATAAATTATAGGTTCTTATAAAATATCGGAAACACCTACACGCGACAGTTGTTGTACCTGAAATGCCTATCCATAACGCCGTTTGATCATGATTTATTCAATTATTATGAAACGCGCTAAAACAAAACTTAATATTGTCGTGTCCTTATTATTTTATGAAAAATGAAAATTAATCTAGTGGAAGGGTGTTTGTAAAAGTCTGAACGAAAATGAATCTAAATGTCTATATTAATTATAAAATATTCAGAATATTGGACGAATAATTTTTTTTTTTATTTCACAAAAGTACATACACAATCTATACAATTTTGTACAATAATGGTATAAAAAAAGGATAACATAACATGGATTTCTTGAGTAACAAGCCACCCGTTACTGGCACTTAACTTGGTGTTTTATTTAGGGTGATTGAGGAGAGATATTTAATTTAAGGGTCACGACACAAATTCCCTTTGAGTCTACGTTGTGGATTTCCAGGTAGTAAGAAGGTATGTAGCTCTTTTATTAGTGGGCGAGGGTAATTTTCTAATCGGTCGAAAAAACGTTTGTAAAATAGTTTCGCTTCAGCTAAAACAGGTTGAATACCTTGATTTTGGTGGAGAGTTAAATTAGAGACAAAAAGTGAGAGTTAGTGATTTTTCTGAGAATAATATTCTGAAAGACTTGAATTTTGTTTACGTTGGATTTTTTGGCCGATCCCCAGAGTTGTAATCCATATTATACCCACATAGGCTTTAGGAGAGTTTTGTATATTAGTAGTTTGGTTTTTAAGCTTGTAAATTTATTTTTTGATTTAAGTATTTTTAAGGATCTTGATCGAGCGTTAAGGATCAATTTTTTAGATGTTTGTTCCAAACTAATTTTTAGTCGAGAATTAATTCTAAATATTTGATAGCATTGAAGGGTAGGATAGGTATGTTATTAGTTGAAACATTTGCACAGTGACCGTGTCTAAGGGTAAAAGTTGTATGAGCCGATTTGTTGTGATTTACTTTTACACGCCATTTTTCATACCATTCGAATTGTAGATTTAAAAGAGACTTTAAATTAGTAGATGCTATAATTGAGTCTTTATGAATTGAAAAAAAATACTTTATCATCTGCATAGTCAGCAGTTGAGGTGTTTAGAGTTGTGGGCTGATCAGAATCATATATGGACGAATAATTTGATTTTATTTCGCTGACACGTCAAGTAAACATAATATTTAATTGTAACATTTATAACATTTTTATTGTTAAATAGGGTATAATGCAGTGCTTGAAAGGAACTTGTTCCAATGATTTGGTCCAGTTTTCAGGATATTAGCGAGAACGTAGTTTCTATTTTGTGTGAAGAAACATAATGAAATTTCGTTAATTTTTTAAAAGTAGGTACATCGAAGATTTTATTTGTCTCTTGTGTTGTCCAAATCTTCTTAAATATAGGAAATTTAAACAATTCTTATGGCAAAATTGTTTATAATTTTTTTTTCTCGAGAAAATTAGTCAATATTATAATGAACTATATTATATGACAAGTAGTTATAAAATTGACAATGTTAACAAGAATGCCGAGTCAGTCTCGGTGGCTTCATCAGCCTTAATTCGTATGAAATAAACAGAGTAAACATTTTAAAAACAAAACAACTATCTAATTAAACATTTAAACAATGATCACTACAAGTTATGTAAAGCAAATTTAAAATTATTGAGGAACGAAAAATGTTTTTTATTTCGGAAGAAGTAATTCCTTAATTTAAGCCAGGAACGAGAAACGATTTAGTTCATTTTTAACAAAATGAACATGAACGTGAACTAATCCCTTTTTGAAGGATCTTTCCAAACACCGCAGTATAACGTGAGTTCGGTAGCTTAGTCCATAAGCTATTATAGTTTATAAACAACTTTACTAGTTTTATATGACTTGTGTATCACTTAAATATTAGTTTTTAAAATTATGAACACCAAATGATCACCCCAAAACACCAAAATATAAATATCGTTCAAATATTGCTAAAAGTATAATACAATTTTGATACAACTATTCTGCATAACTGATGCGTTTGTTATTAATGAATAAAAACGCATATTTAAATAAATTGTCGCCCATGATCATTGAAACTTTATAGGCTCTTTTATATTTTTTTTCCTGAAACTTTCAAATTGTATTTAAATTTCTGTGCATGTTCTTTATATTATATAATATTAGTGGTATACTGGTGGTAAGTTCAATAAGAATAAAAAGTTACAACTAATACGTGCCACATCATGTACTTAGTGTAATTTTAAATTGTTGTCAAATATTGAAATTTAAAAATAGTATAATATTTTTATAAAACAAACTTTTGTACATAAAAAATACGTGATTATGTTTATTCCGAAGAGACTATAATAACTAACAAGTTATCAAAATGCCTCTTTAAAAAAAATTGTTATTTCATATTTGTTATTAACTATGTTTAGCAAAAGCTATGGTCAAATAAAAATCTTTTTATAATTATTAATTACGGAAAAGCGAGAAGCAACAAAAAACTATACATTTTTTACTTTTAACTTTACTTTTCACATATTCTTATGTTTCAAACAATGCTGCACTAATTAAATTCGTTGAAATTTAATGTCTACAAATACTACATCGTTACCGTAAAAAATAATACGAAAATAAATTATCCTATGTTTTACTTTTATAGTTTTATGTAACTCTTTTGACTTGTTAGATTTCTGTTTCTATTTTTATTCAAGAATATTATGTTTAAGACGTTCATAGTATACGAAAGTGTAATAATGTTTTCGTGTACATGTTTATTTTTATGATGATTTAAAAATTAGCGTCATGACATACTGTAAGATAGTTTAGGTACTTAAATTGTAATAAGATCGACTTTGTATTATTAGTCAAAAGACATTTACAATCTATACGACTATGTATAACGTCATGTTGTAATTGTCATTAGGGCAGGTACATTGTACAATAATTGTACACACATATATGGTTTTTAATGATTATGGACGAACGAATAATCAGCCACGCCAACTCTGCATTCTTATAATATTATTATAATATTCCGACGCGTATATTAGATTTTGGAGTTAGGACTCGGTTGTGCTAGAGAGACGTAGTCTGTATAAAATTAAATAGGTGTCATTTACTTACTGCGAACTCAATGCGGTCTGACCGATAATAAGAAGAACATAAATCCCGTACAGAAAAAACAAATTTGTCATTAGACTCGCTGTAAAAAAAAAAAAAAATAAAGTCAAAATTTTGTTAGTGTATATTATTATTATTTTCCGACTTGTTCAGTGTAAAAATATTCGCAAAAAAATATTATAAAACTATATCGTGCTCATCGAACGGTCCTAAACACACTATCAGCTGCGTTAGATTAAATTTACATTTTGTACTACGAGGACTCGCAGTATATCATGTACTTATATAGAATACCTGTCCAATGCCATGGTAACGAACATAATATTATTTCTAAAAACTAATTAATTAATTAATTGTTTTACGTTGTGAATAAGTTTAATTGGAATACACGCGAGGATCGCATAATACAGTGTATGATATATTTATTGTAATAGTAAGTAGTACATTATATACATCGTTTAAATTTTATCGTAGTATATTATTGCTAATGATTTTATTGAGAAAAAAGTTACAGCAATATATTCTTAAAAATACTCTAGGCTTTCATCACATCATAAATATATCGGGACTTTAGTTTCGAGGCAGTACTCGAGTAATATGGTCAGTGGTCTAAAATTTCGTTTCATTAGGAGTGTAATCTTACAAAATATTAAAGCCCGACCCTTTTTTTATGGCGACCCTAAAATAATAATTGAGCACTGAAGAACATAAAACGTTGTCACTTCTAACGTTCATTTTTTTTGTATTTTTGTATGGGTATTTCATAAACTATACCTTCATTACTACACTTACATATAGTTTATTGTATATATATATGCAATTAAACCTATGTCGTAAATTTATAATATGAACTAATTCGCTGTTCATATATTATTCTGTTACCTTGTCGATTTTACCACCAAAACCGGGGATTTATTGTATTGTTATTATTGTTATGGACTTAAATACTTAATAACATGATCTATAATGTCATTTTATTTACCAGTTGTGATAAACCGTATACATTTGTCGCGTTTGTACGTATGGCGAATCTGTGTAAAGTAAGTTATATAATGGAAAATTGTAGAATTAAAATGATTTAATCCTGAAGACTAAAGACGTAAAGAATGTAATGTCGGTTTCAATAAGTATAGATTTATTAGATAGAATAATATATAGATATAAGAAGAACGACGATGCACGAAAAACGTGTGTATAATATACCTACTGCAGATATGATTTATTCTGGACCTGAAAAAAATCGTATTACTGTCGTTAACATGTTTGTATAAAATCGGAAGGTACTCTAGTCATACTTATAGGTATTCTACTAAAAGTTGTGTTTTTAAATTATGTGTGTGTATAATTTTGTATTTTATATGATATGGAAATTGACAACATTGCATAGATTTCCGTGCTCAATCATGTCATTTATTTTTAGGATTTCTATTGTTAAAGATTTTCTGTATTCAACCATATAATATCTGCGTGACCTGTGTTGTTAAAAAGGTACATTGTGCTCAATTGAGTCGCAGCCCTATATTATAAATTACCAGGGCTCGTAAGTTCATGAATTTGCATATCAATCTTGCTAAGTTGTATTTAATGCTAGATGATATAGAAATCCATTTCAAGGTACCGCGGTCAAATGTGTGAAGTCTTATTTTGCATGTTTTTGCATACTTAGATGTTTTTTTGCCTATTTGGCATATTTATGCATATTTCTATTTTATACATGATTTTGATATTCATATTCATATTATTATTGTTATATCAATATGTATTTTTTTATGGAAATACTGTGAAAGAATCAACATTTAACGAAAAAAAAAAGCGATCGTCTATAATTTTTCATTATAATATTAATATATTATTTATTTATATAATATGTTTGGGAATTCGGTAACAGTATATGTACAATTAAAAATATAAATTGTCTTATATTCTTGATTATTTAACAATAGTTTCTCGGAATTTGGAGAGTGATTACATTTAGATATAAAAAAATTAAATATAATAATAAAAAAATGAATGGATAATTCATGTTATTTCAAAAATTGTTTATGATTTTTCCAAGTAAGCATTTTTAAGTGGATAAATTCAGATGTTTAGTGCATATAAATGCATATATTTTAACTTTTTAAGGCATATTTCAATGAATATACTGGCAATTTTTAGTGCATAAGCGCATGCTTATTTTGACATTTTCAGGGCATGAACTTATGAGTCCTGCTTATACACTATTAAAAATTGTACCCGATTGCCTTGATAAAGTAAGAATTTAGCATACTTTATATAGGTTTCTCATTGAGTAAAAAGTACCTAATACCGCGGATAGCCCAAAGCATAGTACAAGTTAATTTAAATTGTTCTTACTCATAGTTTTATGTTAACATTTCAATAATGTAATCGAATCAAATGTGGTCTGAGAATATTATTTGAAAAACAATCTAATGTTTTAGAAATTGACATTTAAACCTATACGACCAGCCGCTACACAGCCACGGGTTTAAGTAGAATAATTAAAAATCGTTACGGCGACTGCTGCTGATATATAATATGTATGGCCATATAGGTATAATAATGTAGTACTTACCTACAACGTACATATTATATGGAGGCAGTTGTCGGTTATTGGTCATAATAAAATCGACAATAACAATATAAAATTATGTAAAATGAAGATCGAGCTTGTGTTATACTTAACATAGATATGTCCGCCGGGCGCAGGCTTTATTTTAAAGACTTGTAGAAAACTAAATTATATGTGATAGTGTTATGATATTGAGAGGTATGTCCATATATTATAGGTAGGTAGGTACTTACGCGGAAAAGTGTACATTTTTGTTGTTATATGCTTTAAATTTGAATTTGAATTCGACTTTTCCTAGTGCCGCTTCTCATTAACATCTATACCTATTTCTTCTTATTGTTTATTTATTACGTTGTTTTATTACGCGTTTTCTAAATGGGTGTTTGGGACCAAAGCATTAGCCGTACAGACTTCAAAAATTCGAGACAATCGGTACGCCTTTATCAGCATCTATAGAGCCTACACACATACACACACACACACACACACACACACACACACACACACACACATTTTAAATGTACATAAATAGAGGTGCACTAAACGGTAATATAATAATACACAATATATAGGCAGGTAATTATTTTTCAATAAAAACTTGAATAGCACACGACATACTCATTATATAGTTTATGTACGTCCTGTGATTTTATTTTTTTTTTGTACAAGATGAGCGTGTAAGATAAATTCTAAGTTCTAAGCTCTACATTACATTGGTACGACTACTCACCCATATCATTTTGAATGGCGGAATATGTTTTGACTCGTTCGACACCAAACAACAATCATAACACACACATATAGCTTACACATTGAGTAGTTACATAACATACAGCGGACACTGAGGGTTAAAGTATACTGTTCTTTTTTTTCACTATTATTTACACGGCGCTGACCCTTTGCAGGTGTAATAGAATAACACCCAAGCGTTGGTTATAATAGGATTCACTAAGCTGATACCATTGCGTACGCTCTAGTAAACCTAAATATACAATTTAGATTACTGATTACAATATAATGTTGACTTTTGTTTTTTATTTTTTTATTTTGCTTTGACCATAGGTAAACCTGCGCGTTTAGACAAACAATCGTAGACGACCGAACAAATCTCTTCGCGTCCACACATGTCCATCTATTGGCCGCCCGTTGACAAGAGTCTGACTATAAACACAGAATGACATTAACTATATACTAATATACTTAAATACCTATACCTATAATGGCACAACTAAAACATTCAGGTCTATACTATATCAATTTGTTTAAGATAATGCAATTAATGTACACATGTCGTTTTCGATGTACCTAACCTATTTTCTTGCTATCCCAGGGCAATTCATAAAAAAAAATCAATACTCCGTTTAATCAATCTCGGCGAGCGTACCTATAACCTAATACCTGAATATTTTAATTTGTTGCTAATAATATATACCTACCGCCGCGTCGCCGAGTAATATAAATATTTAAAACGTTGACTATGTATAATGTGTATTGTGTATAAACTGTTTGAATTTGACTGTTAATAGTATCGGAAATTAATGTTTTAATTGTTATATAGTACCGGCACCAGTTACCAGCTAATTGCATATACGGAGTGATCCATTTACATAGGGCACTCTTTATTTAAAAAGACATTAACGTTTTTGAAAATATTTCTTTTACGTAATTTTAAGTCGTTAAGACAACATTTTAATTTTTTTTATCGTTTTATTTTTTAAATCTTTTGAATGGCAATATACAACTTTAATGTCATATTCTGAAGCAAAACATTGTTCGGAGTACAATTAAAATTTAATTAAAATCAAATTTTCGGCAAGTGTCTAGAAGTCTTTTTTTTATTCGAATACTATTTTAAATACTTTTTGAAAAAACTATTCAAATAAGTATTCTGAATATTTTTTTTGTATTTATTGATTAAAAATACTTTTTTAAATTTGAAAAATAGTTTATATTTGTGACAAAACAAAATCTTCTCTTAAAAACCGAGCACTTTATAAGTTAAGAACAATAGTTTTTCTCTTTAGATGAAATATGATTTGAAAAAATTGTATTCTATAATAGTAATAATACTTCCAATACTTTTTCGAGTATTCAGAACATATCTTTTAAAATTTAACACATATTCGGAATACTGAAATACTCATTTATTCGAGTATAAAATAAAAGAATTCCTTACAAGACTGGTACCTAGTTTGTTAGTTATAATAGTAGGTATTTAAAGTTAAGATATGCGGTGACGTAGTGGACCAACATTTTGCGGGGTATCATTTCACTACGCTCAACAAAACTTTGAAATCTTTGAATACTTATTGATCTTGCCACTTGCATAAATTCGATTTTTATGTTTCTATGTGACTGTGTACTCCAAAAAATATTCTGCTCTGAAAAAAAGAATTAAAAATGCATTTTGTCATTAAAAAGTAAATAAATCTATTCTATAATATTTCTAGAGTAAAAGATCTATTCGAAAATATTTTCAAAAACGTTAATAGTTATTGAAATTATACCAGGTACTTAAAGATAAAGTTTCTTTATCTTAGAGCCTGAGATTTGGATGATTGATGTAGATTTATATCCAATCGATTGGCATAAAAAAATATGTCAAATATACGATCGGATAACATTAATTGTATATTATGTACCCTATTTTAGCATACCCGCCAACACATAATTTGTCTTTTACTTTTATTATTTGGAATATAATTTCATTCATTGTCATTTGTTAGTATAATATAATATGATGTTGCACACCTATACAAATACCTATAGTAAATCTAAAGTTAAAAACAAAAACTTTTAAGTATTTACTTTTGTGTAATTTTTCTTTAGTTTTAATGATCATAAAGCGTACTATAAATATTTTATTACAAGTTTAAAAAAAACTAAATTTCTGTATAAATTGGACTCATGCCTTAGGTACATTTTTATGTTATGCAGGCTTTTAATACAAATTATGTTATAACCGGGCGCTTCGTATAGGCTATTTCAGTAATTGTATGCGAAAACAAAAATAACAAAACATTAAAAATAGATATAATAGTTGGTTTGAATTTACTTACTTCAGATCTTATGTAATATGAAATTAATGTGTATTATAATAATAACTTAATTTATGAGTTTAAACCAAACAAAATATTATATTATATAACATAGTATAAATAAATCATAAAAAATGTATTTTACACATTGGATTAATTAAATTAAATAACAACATATTTTGAGTGAAATGGTTGTTTTCAAATTTAAAACTACGATATGCCGATAAATAGGTATAGGTATGTACTATAGTACCTACAGCCAGGTTCATACAAAATTGGTAAAATATTTCTTGATAATATATCTTATACAATGGCTTATTCGTATTTTAAAAAATTATCAATAAATTAAAACAATATTTTTTTTGATGTTGTAGTTTGTATCTATTCATTTTCGTTCTAGATAAAAAAACTTCCAAGAATTTTTTTAATTTTTACAGTTCCATAGAATTTACAGAAATAAAAAGCATATTATTGTAATTATTGTAAATAATGTTAAATTGTAAAGGCAGTGATATTTCATGATTAGAATTGAAAATAAAAAATATTATCTTTGACGTTACAATTTAAAACTAGATAAATAAATTACATCTTTTTAAGTGTATATACTATAAATGTATGAAACAACTGTTCATTTGGTTATACTATTAGTATTTCAAGACTTATGTTATTAAAATACAATATACATAATTTTATATAAATTACAAACTACTAATAACCGAGCATGTTGATGTATTTTAATATTTTTAATATTGTCGCGTCTTTAAAATGAACAAGTTATGTCTATTACTCGGCGTCTCGGTTCGCATACCTATCACTTCAGTCTATGTAACTCATAAATAATAAGAAATCATTTTTTTATTTAATGGAAGTTTACAATCTATATTGTGTGTACGATAATTAAATGAATGAAATATTATGAGGCAGTGGACAGATAACATTGAGTAGGCGTTTCACATGAGAAAAACCTAAAAATGGGTGAACTAATAATTATAATATTAATGAGTTAATGATGTTACAGTACCTATTTAGCGATAATTTGAATATATTCTATGATAGTTTTATGTTAGGGTTCATTAATTTGAATTAATAAAAAAATAATTTAATACTACATTCATTACTTTAATACACTTTAAATCAGTATTTCTAATCAATACCATTGTTTCTAAATAAAGATTTGAAATATTTGTTTAATCATGAATTGTAATCGGTCTTCGAATGTCCAATATTGCAGAATTCCAATATTTTTCAAAATTACAAAGTTTTTTCTGAGATGCAAAATGACATTAAATAATAATTCTATTTTTCATTGAAAACCAATATTTTACTGACTAACCATATTACAGTTTATAGACTATCACTTCGCTCGGAATCTAAAAAAAAGTAAATAAATATACTGGATACCCATATAGTGGTATAATATATTTAAGTATTAAGTACCAATATTTTTTTTTATGTATATTAAATAAAGGCTTCAACGTCTCAGATTATTAGCCTAGAGTAATTCAGATGCATATAAGTAAATATACATAAAAAAGAAAAAATACAGTTAATGATGATTCTTAAAGACATAGGCGAGTATTAGAATATTAGATGTATAAAATATTAGAACTTATTTATAAGGTGTGTTTTGGTTAAGAGTTTGATAACTTTGGTGGTGTTGATTTCTTTTAGCACTTCTTCCATATTTGGTGGGACAGAAATATAGGAACCTACGTATGTTTTGGTATTTTGCGCATTCTTGAATTATGTGTATGAAGGACAGTTTGGTTTGGCATTTGTAGCAAATGAGTGGAGGATTTTTGTCGAAGATAAAAGAATGGGTGACGAATGATTGACTGATTCTAGTTATTGTGATGACAACTCTCTGGCGTCTGTCGAGGTGCCGAGGGAAGATCCATTTTTTTATACATTTCTGAATTGGTTTAAGTTTATTTGTGTGTGTGTGGGGGGAGGGAATAGAGTCCAAATTATTTTGCCTCAAGGAATCGATGTTTTATGTTTGATAAATGATTTGACGCCATTAGTCGGTATTTAAAAATGTATTTACCATTAAATCTACTAATTATAATAGTAGGTAATGTAATATGTACCTTCCTAATACCTAACCAAATAATGGTAACCCTATAAATAAACAAAAAAATATTTTTTTTTCGTAAGCCTAAAAAAAATGAATGCAAGTAGAAGCTACCTTTTAGCTGCTTATATATAGGGATTAAAAATAAGTAAATACTAATTCGTTCTATAGCTATACAAAAATGTGAAGCCTGGAAACAATTTATAAATAAAAAAAAATTGTAGAAAAATCCTATTGAAAAAAAGCCTTTCTGCAGTTTTCCCCAATTTTCCTAACAACTTTTACAATTTTTCTTTCCTTAAAAACCTCATTAGAAATATTATGAACATTTACAAAAAAAAAAAAAATGAGCTAAATCTGTTAAGCCCTCCAGCCGTTTTCAATTGCTCTTACCAACGAACAGCTTTTCATTTTTATTATATAGAATTATTATTAACCGTACAATAGCACCATTCTTTAATTAATACAATTTATGTTAAAACGAATAACCATTAAAATATTGTTATGATGCGATTTCTTCTGAAAATGTTCAATTAACATCACTAATAATAACTAAAACAATTGCGCACAGGTTTTTCATTTAATGTTTTTTTTTATCCAACTAACTCATTATCAACTTGCTCTGTTCACATAAACACAATGTAAGTTAAACAAGAAAATAAACACAATAAAACAATTTGTTTTCTTCAAAAATTTGTTATATTTTATTATAAGGTATGAGGCATTGTTTAATTTACTAAAAAACAATAAGCACCAATCAGCCGTGAAAACCTATTAAGATTTTTCCTCGTTTAACAAAAAGATTAACATTTTTATCGTAATCACAATAACAAGTTATTGAGTAATCGTTATCCGTTATTATAGTACAACAATTAACATCGTAATGTGATATTGTAATGGTTGAATTATAGCTAAGCAGGTCAAATCGGGTGTATACGAAATAATAGCTGGTCTCACTCCGTATTATATGCTTCCAGACCCCAGGACGCGACGATATAGATTTTATTTTCAGGTCCACTGGCAGACGACAGTACCGTAGTTATTACATAGTTACGAACTAGGTTAATGATTTATAGTAGGTACATGTATGCCTATAAATAATGATGTTCTCATTGCAATTACTTACAACGTTTAGTATACTAATATAGTCATAGACATTCCTTCGACGAGCCCCACCTAGCTCTTCCGCGACCGAACCGTTTTGATTTGGCATTTTCCGATGGACAATTTACTATTATTCTGACTTACGAGCTTATTATTGTAGTGTAGAAGTTCAAACAGCGCTGGCTCGATGTATATGTATATATGGACGCGCACGCCATGCAACCTTGGCCCGATCAATACCATTTCGTATATAATACTATATTATATAAGTATATGTGATTATACGCACACGATGTATCGGTTTTATACTGGTGACATTTTTTTTTTTTTAGCTACTTCGTCCATTAAAACAATATAATATTGCGTATCTAAACATTTCTTCTTTTGAAGAATACACTCATCATACATACCCCATACAAAGATTTTACCGAAAAATTAATGTTCATATATTTTTTCAATATTTTATCTTAATGAATCTATAGACATTTCTCGAAACATTTTAAATTTCTTATACTCTGAAGCAAAACAGTTAACTGAAAACATTTTAGTTTTTGATGTCAACTAAAGGAAATCAACAAACTAGGTTTACCCGTAAAGTTTATATTCGTGAGTATTATTGATAAATATGATATATATTATCTAGCTATACCCATTTATAGACTCGTAAGTCCTGTGTGTACCTATAAACGCAGCACGCGATTTCGCTAGATCATAATAAACTACCCACTCTTGACACCGAACGTTATTTTTTTATCTTTTAATTAACATAATTCGATGCATTTTGGAACACATAACAAAAAAAAAACCAAATATACAAGGCTGCATTATCTGCAAACTTAAACAGGCCAATGTGAAATGGGAAAAAATAATCTCGCATACAATTAATATATAAAATTAAACAGCTATAGGTACGTTATTCGCATTTCGCAGGAGCGAATAAATTACAAAAAATTAGAGACATTTTATTTTTCAGAGACACGGTGAATTTATAAGCTAGTATTATATCATACTGACTGAATCCCTTTGGCGACGGTGCAAGCCAAAATGATACGGCTATACAATATTAATATACGTGTATATTACTTTTTTTCCCTCGCGAGAACCACGCTAGACGATTTTCACAATAACAAAAAAAATATTATGCATACACATGTAGTAGGTAGTGTAAAATAAAATACGCGGCCGTTAGTGGCCGCGTAAAAATAGAGACGACCTTAATTTCCGACCTGCGATACAAGTATAATCGCGGCAGCGACTGAGTGTAGCCGTGAAAATATTTTTTCGCAGAGCTGATTGCCAAAAAAAAAAAGTTTTCCTTTCCTCGCTCTCGACCCCCCCCCCCTTCACCACCACTACACACTCCCGTCGACGGCGCGATATTATTATCATCACTGGTTCAGCAGCCGCGCCTCCTGAGCCGCCGCCGCGCCGCTGCCGTCGCCGCCGCCGCCGCCACCGCCCAACGAAATAATAGCCGAAAACCCTCTCCCACGGGCCGCGCACTTTTGTTGTCGTGTCGACGTTTTACGGTCCTCCTCCGCAGCAGCAGCGTAGGTCTCTCATTCGCATAATATCTGTCCAGTCGCGTATACAAACACCGTGAGTATAGCATATATTATAATACTGTATTGTAATAATAATAATAATAATAATAACATGAAATACCTACTATGCAAAGTCCGCATGCGTACAACGTATTATCTCGTATAGCTAGGTCGAGTGTCGAAGGGGTTTTCGATACTGGCTCCTCGATACGCGCGTCATGTCGTCATTTTTTTATCGGTACTCAATATTATTAACACGCATGACGTGTATTTTTTCATACCGTAATATAGGTAAAATCACGTCATCAATTTGCTCGTGATAATTTTAAAATAATAACTCATATATACCTAGATACCTATAAGCTCATAACTAACAACAATGGTATAATATTGTCCGATTATAGTAAAGATCGGACGACAATATTATAATATTTACATACGGCGTGACAGCGTGTTGGGGATTAACTTAAATTAAGAAGTAATAAGTAACGAATTATTCAATTTAATTTTGTGTACTAAAATTACTAAATTGGGAAGGTACTCGCTACCTACTTGTTTTTTTTATATATTGTAAGAACCAATTTATGATGTGTGTACATTTATCGTATAAGTTTAGATCGACATCCTAATAGTACGTACAAAATAACTTTAATTGTAATGAACGACGCAAACCCAAAAGTTATGTCCTTTACTATACTTAAAAAAAAAGTATCTTATTAATAATTGAATCACAATTTTGAAAGGAAATCTGTGATGTAATTTAAGTACCAAAAAAATTAACTTTTCTAACAATTGTATAATTGGTATAGTGGTATATAAAATATATATACTTTATATACCTACCTATATATATAGTATATTAGTACGTACTACCATTGAGTATATTAATATATAGGTACCTATGGTATTGTAATGGTATTACTATCGTACACATGTCACATATAATAATGCATAATATTATATTACTGTCTATGTCTGCTGTCTGCTGTCTGTAGATTAAACAAAATCTATATGCGTCCCACACCTGCAATGATGATTACTTTTGTATTCGGTCTGCAAAAGAATATACCCTTATGCCAATTTGCATGAAAAATTTATTCATTTAATTGTCCAAAAAAATTTAATGGACCAATTGCAGGCCACTAAATCATGTTCAAAGGACCATTGAATAAGGCTCACTATTGATTCGTTAGATGTTTAGTGATTGTTCATGCAACCCGGCATTAGTGTATTATTATATAATGGTTGAATTGATTATTATAGAATTCTGTTATGCGCACAGAGGCACACGCTGATTTTCAAGCATGTATGCAATAAGCAGACAATTTGGAAATATTCTCTGTTATCATGTGTGCGTTATAATCATAATAGGAAGTCATATTTTGTATACGTATCCAGTAGAGATTGTAGGCACTCTTTTTCTCATCTCCATTCTTTCAGGGTAGAGGGGAAGATAATTTTATTTGGATAGCAAACATATCTAGTCATTACTAACGGCCACTTGACAACCGTGGGAAATACCTGCAGATAACTGACTAACCACACGAATATAATAATATTTAATCAACTGAAGCACACATGCAATTAATAATATATTATACAATAAAAAATCAGAAAAATAAGACATTTATAAGTAATATATATTATAACTATATTACTACAGTAAGTATATAGTATACCATACTCAAAAACATTAATAAATGGGATATAAATCTTTAATTATCTAGATATCAATATTGAAAATAGGTACCTACAATAGTACTGATGTTTTTCATGTTTGACCCGGGCCCGTAAGAACTAAATTAAAATTTGATTTAAAACCGTCTTTTTTTTCTCGCTTATTCCAATGAATAATGCCAAGTTTAAAATCGATTGTATAAATGTGTGACCGTGCGGGCTAGCTATAACGAACGTTCGTGTCATATAGTAGTAAAACAGTAGGTAGGCAGGTAGATATAGTCGGTAGGTATACTAATTTAAATACTAAATACATATCATTATTCATTAGTTGTAGCTTAAAGTTGCTAGTCTTAGTCCTTGGGCACTGGAGTGCATATTTATTTGCTAAAAAGGAGACTAGGTAGGTATAGTTATTTAATATCGATTAGGTAATTATTTTAATTATGTACCTCATTTTCAAAATCAAAATTATCTTTTTATAGGTATACCTTACCTTATCCAAAATTAGGCGTTGTAATGCTATATATATATATGCATTTGGAGCAAAATAAATTAATTTAAAACTAGCACAGTACTGGATCTCATTTATATTTACTCACCTAAATCGTCCTATATGTACTTGGACATTTTTCGAGTAATATAGGGAAAAACGACGTATAGTAAACCAAATGCTATAATGTTCTTCCAAAAATTATTAACTTAACCACTTAAGTGTTTACACAACAAACAATTTATCATTCACTAGTTACTTCTGGGTTTATTTTGTCATAATTCTCATTCATAAAACTATGAAGTTAGTCATCAACCTAACCTATGTTCATATTTATCATCTGGTCTCACGTTACTGGCACAACATCAAATTATTATGAGCACTGTTTGTTTTTATTGATTTAATTCACATTTGTCCTTGACGTTTTAAAACACTAGACGACGGATGCTTGCTATGTGTTAAATATGTACCTTAATAATCATAAATCGCAATCTGAATCATAATGTTACAAGGTTAGGTATACGTATTTATGTTTTTTCATTGAATACATTAACATTTCAAGATAAAACCGTTTATTTGACATGACAAAGTCAAATTGTTATCACTTAAAATAATAATTTAAATTAATTATGTTGAATAGCTAGAGAGACATAAAAGTATGATAGTATTATAAACATTTTTCTTAGGTATAATATTGTTTTAATATTTTATCGAATGTTTTCTGTTTATTTAAAAGAACGTATAAATATAATTATTGATTATGGCTACTATTGAACTATATATATTTTAAAAATTGTCAATTTTTTTAGATTTCATATACATTTTAATGTACCTAATGTTTGGCATAGGTCGTAATGTCGTATATACGTGCATGCGAGTATTTATATTAATCATATATCATTATTTTTATCCGTAACAATAAGAACCTAACATAAACTTTACAAATGTTACTGAAAATATGCATTTAAAGTAGGTACCTACCGAACTACCTAGGTATGCTTTATTTGTAAATTCTACTTGAATTATTTTAACATTTGAATTTGTTTCATTATATTTTATTAGCTATTCAAATTCGACTTTCGGGTTTTTTTTTTATAAAGTAACCTCTTCTGGAACTTAGCCAAACTAAGTATTATGACCTTTTATTTTTAGACTTACGTATTATGTTGAATATACTATTTAATTTGTTATAATATTTTCCCAAAAATCAATATATCAAATATTATCGTAAAGTACATAATTCATTTTTATCTAAACATTTTAATAATATTATTAATTTGTAAAAATAACATGTATTATCCATATTGATATTTTTGTTCATAAAAGTCATATAATTAATATTTCAATATTTAATTGTGTACGTTCCCATGAAAATATTTTTAAATGTGTCATATTTTGCATGTAATAATGCGACGCGTAGTATAATAATTAATAATATGACCTTCTATATTATCCTCCCGTTTTAAGTTAATAACCTTTATAGGCCTTATTGGACGGCGTGTAGTTACTAGTTTGTATATTATATATTATAATTATTAATACTTAGTACTATTGTCTGTTATTCTTCAATTGAATGTTATATACACTCAAATATAAATTATTTCCAAGTTTAAAATGTAATAGGTAATAACTTTATATTTTTTCAACAGTTGTAATCAATATAAACGAAAATGTCTGAAATCACTCTACCAACCGTTTGGATACTTGGTAAGGTGTAAAAATAAAATAGTTGAACTATATGTCATTGATATGGATATTGAATAAAATAGGGGGACCCGGTAGCGGCAAGGGCACCCTTTGTGACAAGATCGTTGCCAAATACGGGTTTACTCACATTTCGACTGGTGATTTGCTGAGGGATGAAGTGAACACAGGATCAGAACGTGGTCAAGAACTGGTGAAGATTATGAAAGAAGGAGCCCTAGTTCCCACAGTAAGCTTTCTATAACACTCCGTTTGGGTAGTTTAACTGCGAACGTTGAAAGTTGAAACCCACCTTAAGATATGTATAATCAGCAATGTTATGAATTTACTGGTGTGTGTTTCAGTCTGTTGTGATGGAGTTACTCAATGAGAAGATCAAAAGCAAAGTAGCAACATCCAAAGGTTTCCTGATCGATGGTTATCCACGTGAGAAGAAACAAGGAGAGGAATTCGAAACAGCGGTAAATTTAATTTTAATATTTAGGTACATAATATTATTCTGATAGTAAAAAGTGCAGATTCTTTTTTTTTTAACAATAAAACTGAACGAACATTTTGATAGAATAAAAATAGTTTTGTTCTAATTGCCAAGTAAACATTTGAAATAAACATAATATAGCATAGGTGTATTGTGAATTATTATATATCTATTGTTTCACTGAATTATAAAATAATGCAAAATTATTTATACTAAAGGTTATTCTATTAATAACTACTATTTCTAATAAAATTAGGGCGATATACAGAAATATTGTTAATTCTTTTATTTGTTCAGAATGATCTTCCAGTTGTTCTTTGGTATTTTTGAAACTAAGTTATCGTTACAATTATATTTAAAATAATCTATAATAATAAACATTTTTTTCGATTTTTTTACAATCCATGCTAATAAAAGTCAAGCTGTTTGTCAGTTTGTCTGTTATGTTTTCACACCTAAACTGCTGAACCAATTTTGATGAATTTTGGTATACAGATAAACCTTTGAGAAAATAATAGGCTAGATTTTGTCTCGAAACTTGAAGGGAATGATGAAATATTAGTCTAGTACTTTTTTGTTTACATAAATGGTTGGCATTCTTAACAAGTAATAATAATAATAGAAATTAGTAGGAATTATTAGTTTTTTGTAAGAGACATTCATTATTTGCAAACGTTATCTCCCCGTCGCGGCTACACAGTCTATCGTATTTGCGTAAGGTTATGTAATTAAAGTCTGTTAATAATAGTTTATTTATTTAAAAACTAATATGGTTTACATAGCCGTTTTTGATTGGTTTTCTATTCTTATAAGGTAGGTATTCTTCTTCTTATTAAAAACGACAAACTTGGTATAACTTTGAAACTTTAGTTAGAAATACCTACCTAATAAGCGATAGATGATAATAAACTGCTACCGCATAATCACAAAACCTCAAACCATATCACCTCATCGAGTCTTTCGGGCCCTCTATTTAGTACGGGCAACGCAGAGCGGGACTGCTAGTATTTAAAGGGTTTCAGCGTATCATGTTTTAAGGAGTAATATTTAGGCAATTTGTATGACATGTACATTTGGGCTACGTCGATGTGTGAATATTAAATGAACATTGGGTGTTTCTGAGAATCGCTGTCACGTCGCGTTAGGCAACCGTCGCTGGATAAAACTATAATAATATGTTAATACAAAGCGAAAAATATTCTTGTCTGCATAACTATAGAAACTACCTACTAAAGGCGGTAGTAAATAATTCCTGTGTCCTATTGAAATTTCGAAAAAAATGGGTACATTTATAAACTTCTAAACTTTGCTCTTTTTTAATTTAAAATCAGTTGTGCACAAAATAAATTTTAAAATAATACAATTATTTAATGGTATTTTAAAAATAAAACCCCAATTTTAACGTCTTTTAAAGCTGAAAATTGACTTCCTAAAAAGCCTAGATATTTAAAAATAAAATCATAAGACATTCCGAAGTATGTGTTATGTAATTTACCACCGTTTATTACATATTGGTCTAACACGTATGTAAAATAAGTGTGATTCGATTCCATTAAAAATTTAAATATGTTATACACCCCAATGTGTAAATTCAAATGTCAATTTAAAGAAAATAGCATATAATATATATATATCATATTATGCCAGCCCTCATTTTTCATAAAAATTCATACTTTACATTTTTTTCTATTTGCAATTATGGTACAGAGACAAATTATACTCTATTGATTGGTACATTTAACATTACTGCTGTTTATCATGTATTTAAAAAACCAAAAAATAAACTTATGAAATATAAATCTAAAAAAAAAATGAAACTATTAAAACTGAGTGAATACTTTTTTTAATGTATACTTCATTTAAAATTGAATTGATATAATATTTGATTCCTCATAGATCAATTGATTTGCATAACATAATATTATTTTGTACCTTGGTAATGTAACCTAAATAATACATAGATAACATTTTGAAAAAAAAATATGAAGAGGAATCTCCTTCACGGTACTAAATATATATAGTATTTAAATCTGCCATGTTCACTATTTTCAATTAAAAGTAGAGGAATAAAGATCAAATTGGTAAAATTTAACTGAAAACAATTTATTTTGTTGTCATTTGTTTATCGTTATTATTTTATTTTTTCTATTGTTATGTGCAGTATAGGTATATACAATATACTAGGTACCTAGTCAGTAGACAGCAGTCTTAATTATTAGTATACAGTTTTTAATTCCATAGAGCATTATCTACAGACATTGTGTTGAGGGAGGTTCCCTTAAAAAATAAAGGCTGTAATATTATACATTCAAAATCTTTATAAAAATGAATAACTTCAAGTGGAAAATAATATTAATACACTTGATTGATAACCGACTACCTACTATTCTATTTATTAAAAGAATGCCTACTTTATAGTATTACTGTAATAGTGTATAGGTAGATATACTAAATAAATGTGACTTAAGCGAGTAATTATTCTATTTATACAGATAGGTAGGTAAAGATAGTTATGTATAGGTAGGTATTTTAAAAGAATGTCACATTAAAGTTACATAGGTACAACTAGCTGTCTATTTTTAACAAACACGCAAGACATAAAATTAAAAAAAACTACGTTAGTTCTTATTTTAAATTATCATGGGTAATTAGTTCATTTTAAATAAAGTGTAATTATAATAAATGAAAAAACTTTGAAAAAAGTTTAATGAGATTTATAATAGCAAAAAACGTATAACATGGTTATTTGCTACCCAAAAAAGTATAAAATTGGTACCTGGGTACTCAGGTACCTGAGTAAAATGTTGAAATATAGAATGAAACATATATTTTTAGTAATTTTGAATACTACGATTTTTACTAATTTTACTTAAACATTTTATAACAGTATTTAAATTGTTGACACAAAAATTTAAATTCATTAGGTTTTGTTGGGATTAATAACAAAGAAAATATTATTTTAAGTGCTTTGTTTTTTATAGATAAAACCAGTAGACATGGTATTGTACTTAGAATCCAAAGACGAGACAATGGTGCAGAGATTGCTTAAACGAGCTGAGACCAGTGGTCGATCAGATGACAATATGGAAACAATTAAAAAGCGGTTGCAGACGTTCCATGACAATAACGATCCTATTATAGAAGCGTACAAGTCTAAGGTAGTGATAATATCGGCCGAACAGAGTGCCGAGGCTGTTTTTGCCGAAGCAGAGAAAAAACTTGATACATTAGTTGCATAATCTTAAAAATGGAAGTCTACATCAGTTTTGATGACAATTTAAATCTACAAAATTATGGCTAAAGCTCAAAGTTCCATTTGAAAAAATATGAAAATTATTTTTTCACAAATGTATATTCACACAAGCTATAAATATAGATTTAGGTTCGGATTAATAAAAAATGTTAAATTATCAGTGTTAACTTGGTTAATCAATATAATTATTGCATTCATTGTATTGTTGTAGATTTTAATATTTTAGGGTGATACAAAAATATAGAAGATAAACAATTTATGTGCTTGAATTCTTGGTTTCATTGCCGTATATAAAAAAGCATTATTTTTCTTTTACAACACTACAATTATTTTATATTTTATATCATAAAACAATTTGAACCATCTATTTATTCAGAAGGTTAGTTACCCTTTTTTACATACCTATAGTATACAGAAAAAAAGTGATTATGTTGATAATATAATAATGGCATATTTAAACATAATTACTATTGTTGTTAATTATAATAAAGTTGTTATTGCAGTATTTAAAATGTTATTGCTTTTTGAGGACAAAATTAAATATTTATCTTTTAATATAGTGTTGTATTGTTTTTTGTATTGTTGTTAGGAAGTTACCTATAATCATTTATTCATTAACTTGAATCAACTCAAGCAGGTAAGTCTATAATAACAATTTTAATGAGTTAAAACTGTATTGTGATGATGCAAGGAAATCTTTGTAAGATTGGAGATCATGTATGAAAAATATCTACATACTTAACTCGGTACTTACTATTTTATATGAATTTTTTCTGGTAAGAAGAGTTACAAGTATATCATACACCGTGTCGTAGTACCTATCTATTATAAATGGTAACCGAAGCATTTATCTAGGTAATATTAAAGCTCTTCAAACATCAAGTCAATTTCTTTTTCTGTTGATTTTTCTGAAGTCAAATGATAAGTGAAAATTCACAAAAACACGTGACAATTAATTTACTTTCAGGTAACAGTTGCTCATTGTATGCGAAATGCTCACTGCTTGCTCTCAAAAGCTAAATCTTGTGCAGTGGTGACTGGTGTTCACCTGATGCAACCCTAGAAATACATTAGTTATGTTTGCTATGTGATACTATATAATATATAATATATGTTATAGACTAGATCTGCAAATAAAAATAAAACCATTATTTGCATACTGGGGCCCTGAAATATCCGACGAAACCAAAAAGCCAACCAACAAGCAAAAGATGCAGCATCGTTACCAATAATCTCCAATCTCAACAAATTCATAAATTTATAGATCAAATAAACAATTTTAACTTGCACTTAGTAAAACTACTGGTCGAATCAAACAACATAACTCAACAAAATAAAACTAAATATATTACCTCGTAGCAATCTACTGGAACATCTAGAAAAATAGAAACAATAACAATCAACATGTTGAGAATCAGCCACACCCTCTTAACACATGATTACTTAATGGAAAACAAAGACCTGACAACATGCATTTCGTGTGGAGTGACAGCGACAGTAAGACACATTTTCACGGAATGCATATACTAAGAAAAATCAACCCAAATTTATCCGATTCCATAGAACCAGACTTATAATTTACAATAAAACCTGCCTTGTGTGGAATTGCACGGGACCAACAAAAATGTTCGTCTTTGGCAGGTTTCCATATAACTGAATAAAAAGGAAAATTCAGTAATATAGAGGTATAATATTCCGCGCGATTAAGGCTGTACATTTTCCGGCCAATAATAAAAAATATCATAGGCTACAATAAATTCTAAATAATTACATAATAAATATTAGTTAGATATTTTAAAATAATGATAAATTAAAATTTGAAGAACATATATAGTAGATATGTATTACATATATATTAATAAAATAAAGTAAGCAAGTTAGGTAGGTTTTTTCTTTAACAATGCTTTTTTCAACATGAATTTTCACCAATGATGTTTTTTCCAATAAATTTTAATTTTAAGGTTTTTGAAGGAATGGCACGAAAAAATAAGCCTGTTTCATCACAGTTATAAATACAATCACTATTATAATCTTTTATCAGCTCACCTATTTTTAATTTCCATTCATTTACGTTGTCAAAATTGACATCATTAGATTCTCTACATACTTGATTAAATGAAATATTATGTTTTTTTCTAAAACATTCCAACTATCTGTTGGATCCTTTGAAATTGGTGTTCCCCAATTTAACAGCGATGTCCTTGGATTTTTGTTGAATCATTGGACCACTAATTGGAATGTTCTTAGATCTAGCTTTAACAAACCAATCCCAAACTGCTTTGTTAATTTCATCATTGACATTTTTCTTTAAACTTCGTTTGCTTTTCCCATTTCCTATATGACGAATGAATATGACTTAAATAAAATTGAAATAATTATTTTATTATTTCATATGAACTTACCTTTTAACCACTCTTCTTTAACTTTAATTTTGTTTTTAATTATGTTATAAATTTGCGTTTTCCCGCATTTAAAAATATTCATTAATGATTTAACGCTATTTCCTTTTTAACTTTCTTCTATAACTTTCATTTTTTCATTTAAAATTAAACAAATCTTTGAAGACATGGTGAGGACAAAATATACGATACAAAAGACAGGTAAACTACGACTACGGTGACAATAATAAGCACTGATGTGTAGATTCAAGATAAAATGTACTTATCTGTCGATACGTATGAATCATTGACCTTAATAATTGTTTAGTAGCAAAATAAATGTGGGTATCAAAAATATTTTTGTTCATTTTATGCTGTGTTTTTCGGTGTATATGATTTGCAGGACCAATAAATAGCCTTCCGTTTTACGTTAAACAGGTTCCGTTTTATCAAGGGTTTAATCCTATGTTAAATTATAGAAATCTGCCAGGACCATAATAAATTTTGGCACAGAAAAGGGTTCGGATAAGACAGGTTTCACTGTAGACCAATAAAAAAAAAATGTAAGTATGTACTTTTTTTTTGATTATTATTATCAACTGGTAGGGTTTGATATTTTGACACATTTAATCGGCAACGTTTGAACAAAATACTGTGGAAAAGTTACCTACCTATCGAGGAAATCAAATTATTTCAGAGGTTGCGGTTTCAACAGTGTATTATTATTATGCTTACGTTCTCCGGCCAAAACACTCGTCTACGGTGTACGAATAATTTCAACCGAATTTCGAGTACCTATGTAAGAACGATAATGAAAATCATCTGATTTTTCGATATCGCGATTTCGTCAAGCAGTGAAGGAATCACACATTAAGACAGTAGTACGGTTTCATTTACCCGGGAGCGGCATTTTAGTTGAGCGTTGGGAGTAGGTAGTTCAGAACAGTGTAAGGCGGACATCGAGACGGAATGAGGACAGAGTTTTTTGATTTAAGTTTGCGTTCAAAACGGGTAACCACTGACTGGTGTGCGGGTTTCATTTTATGGCATATTAATTTTTCGACTTTTATTTTTTTCACGTAATTAACACTTATTATAGACGGTAATTTTTGCGTAGCACCGGTTCTCCTTATCACTTATCAGCGCTACAGCTGTTATCACTTACAATATTATTAAGTTTTGGCCAGCCAACAACAACAACAACAACAACAACAACAACAACCACAACAACAACTACAGCAGTGACGACAACCAAGACGATCAAAAAACGCTTTCAATATTTTTACCGCGGTCGTTGGTACCACGACACACACTGCGGACAGGCGTAAACAAACGTACAAAATGTAACGATGCGGACGCCGCTCACAGCCGTCCACACTGATTCCAGGTTTGAACACTGTAAGCGTTTACTGTGCCGGCGGACGTCGGGTGCGCATTTCGCGTTCAATCCTGCCGTGCCGCATGCGCACAGACGAGATGTCCCGCTGATTTGCGTCTGTCGTAGTGTTTGTACCGTCGTTTTCGATGTAGCCGGCTCAGCTCTGCGCCTCAGCCGCCAATCGCCATTGAGACATTGTGTGTGTGTGTGTGTGTGTGTGTGTGCACTGCTCGTGCGGCTGTAGTCCGTCCTGCGGTCCTGCCGCTCAATAGTTGTCGTCGCCGTCATCGTCGTTGCTGTTGCTGCTGCTGCTGCTCCTCTTGGTCGCGGCAGTTTGGGCGTTGTATCGGCCCGCAATTGGGCGTCTGATCTCCGTTTTCAACCGCCGCCGTCGGTCGTCATCTGCGGTTTCCGTCTGCAGTCCGCGCCGGTCGAAGTCAACCTCCGTCTACGGTTAAGGTAAGCGCCGCCATTCAACACACTGTGTGTGTGTGTGCGTGTGTGTGTGGAGCTTGTGTGCGTCGCTACTCGTCCCTGTCGTAGCTGGGTAGGCAGCCATATTGGCGTGTGATTTGGTTTGTTTCGACGTTTGTGCGGTTTCCAGTTCGCAGTCGGCGCCGGTCGAAGTCAACCTCCGTCTACGGTTAAGGTAAGCGCCGCCATTCAGACACACTGTGTGTGTGTGTGTGTGTGCGCGCGCGCGCGTGTGTGTGTGGAGCTTGTGTGCGTCGCTACTCGTCCCTGTCGTAGCTGGGTAGGCAGCCATATTGGCGTGTGATTTGATTTGTTTTGACGTTTGTGCATCGTTTTCAGTCGTTCCCAGCTTTTGCGGTTGCCAGTCCGCAGCGAGTCATCGTGATCATTGGAGAGGACCCATTAAAGGTGTTTCACGCGTCCTGCGACCTGAACCACCCGATGAACAGCCTCTGAACGTTGTGCCACGGCGGTGAATACAAACAAGAAGGATCACTGCCAACGATATTGTTAAAAACATAGCGTTGCCATTTGATTGTTGAACTATCCGTCTTGTTGACTGTTCTTATTTATTCAAGTCTCAAATGTAAGTATAAAATAATATAAATAATATAAGTAATCAGATACCTAATGAAACACACAAGAACTAAATTTGGGGGCGTACTTAGTGGCTGGGTCTCCTGAGACCACCACGGTTTTGAAATTATTCAATGGTAAATACGGTCGTATGGAAACCCTTTATTTATTAATTTAATTGATTTACACGTATTAGGTAATCAAAAAATATAAGAAAAATGCATAATATAATATGGAACTTAATTTGGCTAACTATTTAAAATTAAATTTTCATAAAAAAATAATAAGTGTTATTGTATTAAGAGAACTTTGTCGTACCAATATATTTTAGATTCTGAGAGCTCCTATGAATGAATCGATTTTACAATGATGTGTATTGTAATTTTTATTTTTGTGTCTGTCATGGGGGTTGGGGTCAGTAAAAATTTTCTTCAACCGAAACTTTTCTGGTAGGAAAATTAATCTAGTTAGTGCATTCGGGAGTTCAAAATTTAAAATTCCCAATAGTTTTCAAAAGCGATAGGTAAAAATGAGAATTTTTATTTAAAATCAGTTCAAAAAATCAATTTTGGTTTTAAGTGTAACTGTTAAAATAATTATCACAGATACCTGAAATTTTCACTGAATATTTGTTTCAGAATTTGCTATATACCATACAATTTTCGAAATATTTAACTTTTTATGAAGTTTTCAACCATTTATAGGCATATGAAATTTTCGATTATTATTTGTTTTTTTTAAACTATTGTAATACAGTTTTTTGCTCTGTTACAAAACTTGAAAATGTAATTCAAAGTACCTCGTAAGTTGTTGTTAGTAGAAATTTAGAAACTAATAATCCACAATAAATTTTTATGAGTGTTAGAATTTAGAATTTTGACAAAATTAGCAAATTGTTTTGAGTTAGAAATTCATAAAAAAATTTTTATCGTTCAAAATTTTTTTTTGTGTACAATAATATTAGATCATTGAATTCAAATTTAATGGACGCCTAATATACAGCAGAGCGACGTCCACTTACCCGCTTTTGTTATCTCCGTTCTACTAACACTCAACATGCCAAAAAAAATGTTCAGCAGTTCCAATCTAGCGTTGTTTTCTTAAATGTTAGAATGAATTAAAAAATTCCTTCAGCATGTCTAATCTTTAGGTTCGACAATGTTTAATAATCATGAATTTCGCCATAACATTTTTATTTTTTGGCAGTATTGTGACAGAGATGGTTTTGCATGCCGTCACATACCCCCTCAACATCAATGGTATGAGCACCAGTTTCTAGATTTCTAAATCGAATGGAGTGATTTACACTCAAATGACGAAATCTTTCCTCTTCTAAACAATCATATGCCTAACATTTTTTAAGTATATAAAAGTATTTTGTTTTATTTTAAACTTAACTGGGTATACCTTCCAGTAATCGTTGATTATAGTCGTGCCGGGTAAATACTTTTAAAAATCTTTAACGATTTTCAACAATGTTAGATTGTCTCGGGATTCAACGGCAATGAGGAAACATTGCCTAGATCCCCTCTCAATGCCTCCAAAAATCCATAAGCCCACATCTACACGAATTTTAATTCATCTATTTCTACTACTTTGTATGGGAGCTAAACTGCAATATAACTTAATAGTTATAACTGCCTTTTTTCTACAGTCTGAAATACCATCAATGATATGTTACAGATGAACAACTTAACTTTATACCTTTAATATACATTGTATATTATTACTTTTTAAAATTTAAAATTTATTAATATTTGTTGTTTCTGTCTTGGAATTGGTTGACATACAAATATGCAAGCTTATTGTTACTAGATAAATCTAATGATATTGTTGGAGATATTGTTCTTATGTTGCTTGGAATCTATATGTTACGGTCAATGTGGTCCTGCCTGGCCAATGTAAACCACACATTTTTTTTTAATCAGCTAATATTATTTTTTATTATAAATTATAATTATTACCTATTTATAGTAATGATTTTTTTTTTAAAGAATCATTAATTTTATTCATGTATCATAATACAATAAACTAAGCATTTTTTGAAACACTGTATTAACTTATTTTTGGTACTTATCATACTGTGTATTTAAGAATCAAGTGTAAGAAAGCAGATAGACTATGTAATTCCAAGTGCTTCTAAATCTTTTTCAAATAAAATAGAAAGAAAATAATTATAATATATTATAAAAATAAAATGATGATACTTCTTAATTTTTTTTTGTTATTCCATCAAAATATTTGTAATATTATGATATATGAATAAAATTTATAATGATTTTATTATTTAATAATTTTTTAAAAAAAATCATTGCTTTAAAAAGGTAATAATTATAATTTACAATAATAATAAAAAATAATATTAGTTGGTTCAAAAAAATTTGTGGTTTACACTGCCCAGGCAGGACAAATGTGGTCCAAGTGGTTATGTGTCCATAATATAATATGTACTGTGTACACTAGCTCTTATAAGGAAAATAGATTCTGGTTTCACGAGAGTCTACCAAAGTTGAATATTGTTTTCGTATTTAAAGATAGTAACTGTTCATTATATGAACATATATTAAAAAAATCTAGATATAATAGAATCTCAATGTAATTTCATCTGGTGTGTTTAGAAAAATTGTAAATTATTTAAGCTTATTCCCTAATTTATTATCTAAGGCCAATATAATATAATAATAATAATAAAATAAATAATTTTAATTATCTTAGACTTTTAGAGTGATAATAAATATTAAGACCTAATCATTTTTAAATTTATTACAATAAAATTGCATGTCAAAAATTAATGAAGAAAAAGAAAAATATTTATTTAAGTTACCTATATAATTATTGATTTGTTTTAGTTCATAATAATGATGAACATGGAAGAGGAAAATACTGATGATCAGCTTGTAACAATTCATTTTGATGATGATGTCAACGATACATTTAGTAAATTGCTTTTAACGGAGCATAGCTCATACTTTGAAGCTATGTTTAGTGGAAACTTTTTAGAATCTCGACCAGACCAAAGAATACATATACAGGTATCAATAATCAAAACTTATTTTTTCTTGTTTATTATTTAGCGCTTAAAAACAGTATTCTGTAACAATTAATTGCCCAAATCCATTCTATACTTTCCTCTATTCATTGATTTTACAAATATATTATTTTTCCATGGGTACTTAATTTTTTGTGTAATACTTATATTATCCATCATAGAATAATATATTCATATTTCTTGTTAGACCTCTGCAAATATACTAATGCCATATTGCGATTATGACAGTGATTAAACCATACATCCAACATATGTTTTCAACCAGTGCAAAATAAAATAAAATGTAGGTACTAACTACTAATGCACTTAAATATACAGATTGCGAACTGGACAATCATTTTTTTCATTGAATCTCAAGTTCACATTGGTGCATAATTTTATTACATTAAAACATTTATCCTTAATAATTACCTATTATATGTACATATTATATACTGTTATTTTGATCATAAACTTATTGTTTTACTTGTTCCTATTGGTTCAATATTCTTGATTAAAACTGTTTGATACTTAAAATAAATTTATTATAGTCGAGCTCATGAAAAGTGAATGCTAACTACAGCATTCCCAGTGCCATTTATAAATAAATGTAAGTCAACTGGCCTGCTTTTTAAATTTGTTGAATGTTAGTCATTTATTTATTCGCCTTGCGCACTACAGATGAAAAATAAAAGGATGTTTATTGAATATGAATTAAACAAAATATTTATTGTAAAGTCATATTAATTGGTTAAGGGACCCGTTGCAGTATTAAGCAATTAGTGCAATACTGTGAACTTTTTGTGCCAACAATATTTCTACTCAACCTATTGGCCGCCAGCACTCATTTCTTGTGAGCTCGACTATAGTTATATCTTCAAATGTTTAGCAAATTTATTAATTATAAAATCTGTTTTAAATTTCAGAAAATAAGCTATAGAGGTTTTGTGATGGTCATTGAGAGTTTGAAACAAAACAAAATAATTGTTGATGGCTTAGAAGATTTACTTACTATACTGGAAGTATCACAGATCCTTCAATTTTCTTTCATAATGGCTGAATCTATTAAAATTATCACTAAAAATTATCTGTTTACAATTTATGCATTGGATATATTTTCAATGGTTTCTAAGCTTGAAATTAAGAGTCTGTTAGAAAAATCCCATGCTTATATTTTGTATAACTTTAAAACAATTTTGGTTCAGAATAAAGCTGCTTTCTTGAAACTAAGTGAAGTAGATTTACAATCATTGTTGAATAACAATGGTTTAAATGTTGATAACGAAAAAGATGTGTTTGATTTGATTATTAATTGGTGTTCAGTGAATGATAAATACAATATTGAATATGAAATGGTTGTTAGTTGTGTGCGTTTTAAATCCATGAATAATGAACAATTGACAGATTGTATTTCAAAAACTAAGAATTTAAATTTACAAAATGTCATGATACCGTATCTGGATTTTACAAAAAAGAATGAAGACACTATAGGAGTATTTATTAAACCAATTAGAAATATTCCTTTTGGTTTGTGTGCTGTAAAAAATGAATTGGATGGTTATGCGTTTGTGTATCGCTGGGATTGGGCCTCTATGCAGTTCACAAAGTTTATTAGATTGGATCCATTGCCTCTTGATACAACTGGATATCATGTGATTGTTAAAGGTAACTAAAATAGTTAATACTGATTGTAAGAGTGTTTATGGTATTTATTTAATTGTTATAGACTTAGATATTTATGTGATGGCTGGAGAAATTGCATATGGAAGAGGATCGTGGAATAAGGAAGGATGGAAGTATAATTTACTGACGGAACAGTGGAAGAGATTGAAAGGGTAATTAAAAGTTTTAAAAATTCAATAGTTAATCATAAATAATATTAAATTAAACTTTTTTTTTAGTTTTTCTTCATCTAGTAGGCGCCACGGCGTTGGACATTTTGTTGGTAATTGTTTATACTTAATGGGAGGTCTTACAAAGCACCGATTGCCAAATCGAAATATCGAGCTCTTTGAAATAGGCAAGTTACAAATTATAATTTAATTTAATGTGGAGTTATTGACATTTTTAAATTTATTTGTTTTAGTTAATGATACACTTGGTAAAGTTCATATAAGTTCTTGCAGTTATTTTCGAAAAAGAGTGGATAGACAATTTTATGTTTGTTTGGAGTATAAAGGTCACTTATCCATAATAACTAAAGACAATGAACCATCATGGTTTGATCTAATTCCTGTTGGAGAAGAGGGAAGTTCTTATACTTGGAGAAGACGCTCAATTAATTTAGATGAAGTAGTTATTAGTGCAACTTGCTATAATGACATTATTTATGTGCTTAGTAAGTTCCGCATTTTCATTCAAATCGTATGACACACTCTTTTTACATTTTATTTTTTTTTATTCTTGCAGGTTACGACAAAAAGCGTATGATTAATTTACACAGTTACTGCCCAATGTACGAGTTAACCCGTAAGTTGAAATCTTTTAATATAGCATATGATGATGCTACTACAATGTGTGCTTTTAACGTGGATAAAGCTATGGTGTTTAAAAATGATACCCTTGAATATTATTCTGTGGATGACGACTTCTTCATTGAGTATAAAATTCAATTGGATTCTTTTCACTCTAACTATTTATTCAGTGTTCCTATTTATATAAATAAGACATTATAATTTAATTTTAGTAAAGTACCTATTGTAAGTAACTTACAATATTTCCTTATCATTGTAAGTTTATAGATTTTTTTATGATACAAACTACTAAGTAAAAATTGATATGTTTTACTATTTTTTTAATCATTATCGTACAAATTAAATTTTACTTTCCGTTATGAGTTTCAACGCCACTACCATCAATTGGGTGTGTTTCTGCGTGCGATATTAATTGTTTTGCTTTTTTTCTGTCAAAAGTATCAACTAATCTATTTACTTGTTAACATTTCTGAAAACATATTTGAGTTTGTATTGAAATTTACTTGATAACGACTGCCTTACATTTTTATACTAATTTTTTCACTTCAATATTATTAACATTCGAAAATTCTTCATGATTAAAATTTAAAAATCTAACTTTGAAGTGTTCAATTTCTAAAAAGTGGAAGTGGTTTTCAGTGAACTTAATGACAAATTAAATATATTTTTTGGAGGTTTATCCGATGACTGGGATAGTCATACAGGAATCAGTAGTATATCTATGATTTTTTGAAGGTCCGTGTCATTACAACATAATTTACTAATTGACCACCTCTATCAATGTTTGTATAATAATTCATGACCAGATTTGTATGAATTTTAAATAGTAGAATATGCATGCAAACATGCTCTAAAAAAATCAAAGTTTGCAAGAAAAGAATGCAAAACAAATAAAATGAAATTTCAATTTTTATTAAATTTTATATTAATTAAATTTTTAATCATAAATATAACATATATATATTTCATAATACATTATAAAAAATATTTTATTCAAATTAAATAGATTCATTGGTGTATCACTGCTCCTGAATGCCTGTGTTTTGTTCTGTATGCGTTGTTACAATATAAAATAATTGAATTACTTAACATTTTCGTAATTTTTAGTTTTACATGTTTTAAGTTTAAGTTGTATACTCATAAATTGTTACTATTATGTTTTTGTTCCAAAACCTCTAGAGATTTTATATTTTATTACCTTTTTAAATCAAATATTTTAACATAGTATTAAAAATTACTTTTATTTTATAATATTACACATATTTTCATCTTATTGAACTAAAAACAATAAATGCCACTTAAATTTTTCCATAACTATTAATTATTATTTTTATTCTACATAAAATATAACTATCACCTAACATTTATTACATTAATTATTAATTTGTACATTAAAATTGTCATTTTTAATTTATGTTTTGTTGCATTTTTATGTTATGAGCATAAATTATAATGTGGTATTAATTTATTAAATAACTTGGCCATGTAGAAAATAATTTACTGTACTAAAATTATATTACTAATTAAAGGAATCAATGGCTTAATAAAAAATCATAATTTATCTAGGTTTGTCATTCCATTTTATCTATTATTCCATATAAATAATGAAAATAAAATCAACTAGATTGCATTTATTTAGTAACTATGTGATGTTCAATACGTTTAATTTTTTTTCTTTGAGTTAAAGATTTATTTTAATAATAATTTACATAAAAATTCCAAAATGTTTATTCTTGTTAAAAAATATATATAAAATATAACGTTGAAATGATGAATATTGATGTTTGAACTATATTTATTTTATGTAAATAGAAATTAAGTTTAAATCTACATATTACAATGTTTATTAAAGTCAGCCTCCGGCTTAATACCAGTGTACTCTGGTGAAAAATGTTGAACTATCTAATCTGAATTACATTTATATTTTCATATTATTGAAACCCCCTACACTTAAATTCTATAACTGTATAAAAATTATTATTTTTATTATATTATAATCTTAATAAGTACATTAAAATTAAAATTTTTTTATAATATGATTAATGTATCAGAAAATAAATATATCCCGGGCATAAAAATTGTTATTTTTAATTTATGTTTTGTTGTATATTAATGTTGTGTGCATAAAATATAATGAGATATTGATTTATTAACTAGCTTGGCAATGTAAGAAATAATTTAACAAATAAAGGAATAAAAGGCTTATTTTTTATTATATAAAAATCATAATTTATCTTGGTTTGTTATTCCATTTTATCTATGATGCCATAAATATAATGGGTATACAATTAACCAGATTGTACTTATAATATAGTATTACAACTTATTAAATATTGTAACTATAATATAGTGTATAATACTTATGATTTTTTATTAGTTTAAGATTCATTATATTCATAATTTAACATAATGATTCCAAAACTTTTGTTTATGCTAAAATATATCTAAAATATGATGTTGAAATGATAAATATTGACATTTGAACAACATTTATTTCATTTAAATAAAATTTAAGCATAAATCTTGATTACTTTCTTATTTTATCTACATTATACTTAAAACAAAATCGTATTTTATCATTGTAAAATTTAAGTACATTAAATCAATTACTGTACAATTTTTGTTTGATAATAACAAAATATTTATATGAGTAAGAGTAAATTATGTACACTTCTGTAATATCTTGATTGATTTAATGAATAAATAATTTTAAATGCAAATAAGGAACATTGATTTAAAATAATTGTGTGTAATAGAATATATTGGAAACAAGTTTATAAAAACATATTTTTTTAATGTTGTTAACTGAATGTTAATATCAACAACAAAATCTAAAAAGACAATCAATACAATTTTCCCTTTGTTGATCTGATTTAATTAATTACACAATAATTTGATTTAATTCCTACATACACTTGGAAAGAAAGTACCTACCAGCGATATGTCACAATATTGCATCATGTTTTCATCGCAAAATCCACAAATAATGTATTGAATTTAGATGTAAGATGATTTGTGGACTAAATGCTTTATGAGTTCTATCTACTACTTATTTTAATGCTTCTGTCAAGTACCACTTGACATATCAAATAATTCCCCCATCACTTCTGTGTACTGTCTATTGCATCATCATTCATCAAGTAAGTTATGTGCTCGCCTGAATAATGAGCAGCTTACTATAGGTACTGTACGTGAGAGGTACTTATAGTCTTGAATACTAAATCATTCCTAAAATATTTTCTTTTTAATAACTTATTTTTTTTTTGTCAAATTAATACAATGTTCTATGTACTAAATGTATTGAAATTTTTCTATAAACATTAGAAAGGCCGAGTAAAAATACATAAAAATGTTACTACATGTGTGTAAAATGTAATATTAAAATGAGTTGATGAATGTATTTGTTTTTATTGCAGATAAGTTCAATGGAACTGAAATTAAACTGAAAACTAATGAAATAATTAAACGTGAAGAGTTTTGATGGAAGACATTCCCGAAGTCAAGGACTAAATTGAATCATATTACAACTTATTTTACGGTGTTTTAATGTTTAAGTGGCTTATGGGTTGATATTTTAAAATTCTCATAATTCACTTAAAAATTACAATAACGTAAAAAACCAATTAGGAGAACACGGATAATGTTCTTACCTTAAAGTTTGATAATAGGTCAATTCTCTTATCAAAACTGCATACTATTGAAGCTGGTGGATAAAAATTAGCTATTTTGTGCGTGTGTAGGATGGAGATAACATGCTGATACGTACATCTTAAGAGGACGTTACACTGACATTTGTTGAGTTATAACTATAACTATTTTAAGATGTACAAACAATTTACAATTTTTAAATATTCATAACTTGCTTTGAAATTTATAATGTTGTAAAAAGCCTAAGTGATGCCTTAGATAATAATATCACCTTTAAATTTTGTTAGAGGTGTCAATTAATTCTAATTTTTAAACTAACTGAGCTGAACGTGATTTTTGAGCTTAAAATTTGGTATGTTATGCACTTGTGTGGCGTGGAGGACAACAAATATCAGTGTAGTGTTCTCTTAAGTATTTATAATTGTAATTTACAACAACATGTTTCACAAATCACAATATTTAATTATGCAATGTGAAGGATTATATTGAATTTAAGTATGTTTTATTGATTCTTGACAGTAATATATTGTATAATTTATAACTATTTATTACTTTTATTAACACAATTATAAAGTAGAATTCTTTTCAATGTTATTAACTACAATAAAATAGGAAAGATTTTGTCGTGTAAAAATAGTAATTATCAAAATATAATCTACATAATAAAACTATTAAATGTGTAAAACCTTTTATGGAAACCTTTGTTGTTATATATATTTTTTTTTATTGATTTTAAAAAGCCCGGCGATTATGGCCATTAGCTATTTGTAGGTTTTTTTTGTTGGTTTGAAGGCGGGAGAAACGGTAGGTTTTTTAACTTGTGTGTGTGTTTGTGTATGGCAGAATTTTGATTGGGCACTTGTAGGTTTCTGCCATCCCGGTTGGGGATGGCTGCCTAACTCTCCGGACAGGTGTCTGCCCGGAGAAAAGTGTTACCCGGTGACCGAGGTTCAAACCAGCGACGGTGCAAGTTGCAACAGACGCCTGAGTCCACTCAGCCCCTTTTTGTTATTTTATTATACAATCTACAAATTTCGGAAACAAAATCCCACAGCGAACAACCCCCAGAAAAAAATCCCCAGGATGCAATATTACTCACTAACACATGCAAATTATTGAACAAATATTTTTTTAAACTCTTAATTAGTGTAATTATTAATATTTAATTACAAATATATACTTTATACTAATAACATTGCAAAATAATGTATAATTCTGTAAAATTAAATAACTGAAATAATTTTTTTTTACATTAGCTTAGCTTAGGTTATTTTCTACTACATTTTGATAATTTTATATACGATATAAGAATTAAGAACTTAAAATGTTACCTATTATAGTGTACAATTTGATAACCTGTATACAATTGTACTTTTGATAAATGATTTACTGAGTACCTACATTAATCATTTTTATTTTTATTTTATAATATTTTAAATATTTCATCTATACATTGATTAAATACAAATCAATATATATATATATCTAATTTAATCAATGATCTATATAAAATAAAACTTGTAAAAACGCTTCCTAATAATATTTTATTTACATTATAATGAAAATATTACAAGAAACGATAATACTTTATATGTTCAATCTTTAGCTAAAAAAATTGGACATTTTCTCCATTTTTAAGGATATATTACTACACTATAAGTGTATTTGTAATTTAATATTAATAATGCTGGTAATTATACTAATTAGAGTTTAAAAAAATAATTTGCATGTGTTTGTGAGTAATATTTATTGTAGCCTGGGGATTTTGATTCCGATTACCAATCTATACACATATTTACGAAGTGTTGGTATCTTATGATTTATGAACATACCATTTATACAAACTTCCAAAAAGTGTTTAGTAAGATAAGGTTAACCACAATTTACTACTCACAAGTATAACTACTTCTGGTTTTGGTGCGAAATTTTCATAATGTATAAAATCATATCTTACTTTTTGCCATCAAGCAGTAAAATGATCTCATTTTATTTCTAATTATTTTTTGGTGTGTCAAGTCGTGTTATTTAGTTCATTTATGAATGGTTTACCTTCTATTTTGATTCTTCAATAAATGTATTATTACTTACAGGTGATTCCAAAATATTTTTCGGTACCTGCTGGTTGAATCTCCTCTTGATGCATAAAAACTGGTTGAATGTGGACTATTTGGGTAACTGGAGTTAGTAAAATTGTTTACCATTA